TGAGTACCAAGGCGTTTGAGAACCAAGGTACCACTGTAATCAAAATCTTACCATTTATTAATTTATAGGGTTTGGGGGGGTTCCCCAAATCTACAAGACTATGTCTTCGTGGCCTATTCTTTGTTTCCATTGCAGCTAATGGAAGAGCTCTTGGGTGGAGAAGAGAATCAGATGAGTTATATGGACTGTGATCTCCACTTGCCGAACATCCCTTTGTGCCTACTTCCTGTTCCCTCTTCTGTTATGGTAATTAAAATTAATAATAGAAACCATATAAGGCAGCCTCCTTTTGCTTACTCTTCCAGTTACTCTGAATGGCAGCTGGGCTTAAAGTTGCCAGTCTGAAAGCTGGCAAACAATTACCGTAACTCTTCCCAATGAATAGTTCCCAAAGATCTTTTAGTGGTACTTACAACCCATTAAACTTGTGAGGTTTCTAATGTAGGACTGGGGAAACTTTGTGACCCTTCAACTCCATCAGCCCTAGCAAGCATGGCCAATGGCCATGGAAGATGGGAGTTGTAGTCCAACAATATCTGGAGGGCCACATGTTGGCCACCCCTGCTCTAAAAAGCTAAGTGGAAGTTTTCTCCAGGATGCTTTTAATGGAAGATGCAAAGGATTGAACCTGCAACCACGAAGCTTTGCCCAAGGGTACCCAGTACAAAACCAGGCAGTTTCATCAAAGCCCAGGATTGCTCTCCCCACACTGAGTTATAAAACGAATTTGTTAAGTACTTCAATTTCTCTTTGTAAATTAAGCCATCTCGCAGGCTTTGTAGCTGAAAGGTGGGGTAGACATTTTTCAAATAAAATCAATTGCAATGATGTCTCTTTAGCTAGTACGCTTTAAATAAAATGAAAGGGTGGAGCTAAAACAACGTGCGTCTTTAAAGACTTCACAAATTTGTGTAACCAAAACTCAACGTAATCCTTTAAAAAAAAATCTGCTAAGTGCATTGTAGTTCACAAAAGCTCAGCCTTTAAATGTTCAGCCTTTAAAGACAGGGGTGTGGAACCTATCTTCCCCTCCCCCACAGGTGAAATCTTGACAGGTGAGCAGAACTACCCACCTGTTGAACACCTGACCTCAGCTGATCAGTGGCGGAGCTTCAAGCTCTGGTGGGGGGTGGAGAGCAGGTGGGGGTGTGGCTGATGTGTGTCCCGGGGTGTGGCAGTGTCCTGGGGGCGTGGCGCCCAGCGCGCAGAGGGGGAGCCACAATGGCAGCCCACCGGAATAGTGCCGCCGGGCGGCAGTGCGCTCTCCCCACACCCGTTCCTCCGCCAGTGGCTGCAAATCTGTTTTGGGCCCTACAGTCTTTACCTGTGCCACACCCTACATCATACAGGGCACCAGTTGTAAAGCAGGGTGTGCCTTGGCCAAAATGGCCTGGTCAGCCAAATGGGGGAGAGGCCTGAAAAAGCCTAATCAGATGTCAGAGGTTCCCCACTCCTGCTTTAAGGACATTTGCCGTAGTGCAAGATCAACATGGCTATTCCTCAGGGAGAAGTTTAGAGAAGTTATCTGATGAATTTTCCTTTTACTTCATACCACAGAGGAAAACCTGTATCTGAAATCCTTTGCCCTTCATCCATTTGGAACACAGTGGATGTTACCAGCTTAGAAGAAATCAGCTTGACACATGCCCAAGAGTTTTTACTCTGACCTCCTCACGATAGCACTTTATTCTCCTTTTCGCTATTGCATATTCATGACGCTTGCGATAATAGCAGATGCCACATTCCTCCCTCACGAAGGGAGTTGTGACAGCCTCCTGAGATGCTGGGAAACTAAAATTAGAACCGTTAAGTATCATCTAGAGAGAAGCACATGTAGATCACTTTTCTCTCTCCTTAAGAGACATGGGAGCAGGGCAGCACAAATGTTCTTACCCTAAAAAAATTTAAAAATACACCCTTCACAGAGCTATGAGTAAGAACTCTCAGGTGATCACATGTAATAATTGCAGAGACCTTGGGGATATATCCAATTATTGGCGACAATTTATTAAGTTTGCATTAAACAAGATTCCTGATGAGCTAATCTTCCACCCCACGAGCACACAAAGGAGGCAAGGAACTCTTTTGTTCTTCAATCATTGGTTTAGACATATTGTTAAGGAGGAGTGGAAAGGGAAGTGTTCGATCAAAGAAAAAATGACAACCCCCCGCTTTTGTTTTGGCAGGCTGTGTCCTAACATAACTATTATTATTTTATAAGATACACTCTCTCGCACAAAAATTCAGAACTAGGCTGGGGGACGTGGCCCTCCAGATGTTGTTGGGACTGCCATGAGCCCCAGCCAGCATGGTCAAAGGTTTGGGATTATGGGAGTTGTAGTGTAACAACAACTGGACGGCTGCAGGTTCCTCATCCTCAGTCTAGAACAAAGTTCCACAAGGTTTTGATGACTGAAGCATATCTTCCCTTCCCCATGATTCAGAAAGACACTCTTTAGAACAATGGTTCCAAAAATCCGCCCCTTCTCATGAACTACTTGAAAAATGTTGAGGGTCTTGGCAGGCCACTTTGATTCTTCTCTTTGTCTGTTGTAGCAGCTGTAATTCACAGCACTAGGTGCTGTATAATTTTTATTTGCATTTTCATTGCTTCTTTTATTTTTGATGCTGTATTTTACTGTATTGCACAATGTGAACTCCATAGAATTCATAGAATGTCCCACGTTTCTTCATTTGTTGTTGTTGTTGTTGTTGTTGTTTAGTCGTTTAGTCGTGTCCGACTCTTCGTGACCCCATGGACCAGAGCACGCCAGGCACCTCTGTCCTCCACTACTTCCCGCAGTTTGGTCAGACTCATGCTGGTAACCTCGAAAACACTATCCAACCATCTCGTCCTCTGTCGCCCCCTTCTCCTTGTGCCCTCCATCTTTCCCAGCATCAGTGTCTTCTCCAGGGAGTCTTCTCTTCTCATGAGGTGGCCAAAGTACTGGAGCCTCAACTTCACGATCTGTCCTTCCAGTGAGCATTCAGGGCTGATTTCCTTCAGAATGGATGCGTTTGATCTTCTTGCAGTCCATGGGACTCTCAAGAGTCTTCTCCAGCACCATAATTCAAAAGCATCAATTCTTCGGCGATCAGCCTTCTTTATGGTCCAGCTCTCACTTCCATACATCACTACTGGGAAAACCATGGCTTTAACTATACGGACCTTTGTTGGCAAGGTGATGTCTCTACTTCTCAAGATGCTGTCTAGGCCTGTCATTGTCCTTCTCCCAAGAAGGAGGCGTCTTTTAATTTCATAGTACACCAAAACAACAGCGTTATGTTGACTGCAAGGGAAGTGTTGCTGTCTTACCCAACTAGAATAACAGAATCATAGAGTCGGAAGGACCCTGAGGGTCATCTAGTGGTTGTAGTTTTACTAACAATATTGCAACATTAATACCTGTGTCACCAGTAATTACTGGTGTGAAAATACTGTGTTGTACAGTATTCCTCTAGCTTCTAACTAGGAACACTCCTTAACTGCACTAACAAGGTAGCCAAAACGTTTACATTTTCTATCTTTTATCTGGGAGTATGTTCTGACACAACAATATCAAAATAGCTTGATTACAGATTTTGATATATAGAAAAGGAACTAAGAGAGAACAAGCTTATACACTGCATACAGGAATCAACAGCAGCTAGCTAGTCTCGAAAGAAGTACAAGGTAAAAATAAAAGCATTTTTAATAAACAGGGCAAGCATGCAATGAAAACTTAGGGTACATGGTAGTATGCAGGTTTTTCCTCCCAGGGCAAATAGCAGCTCCAGGGAGGAGGGTTAACCCCATGCCACAGTCCCTAAATGCATAACCCCTCTCCCCAACAACTGCTATTTAAAATAGATCAACAGAACCAGACTGATACCCAGAGAGAACTTGCTGCAAGACAGATGCAAAAAAGAAAATAACAGAACACCTCTAGTCATCACATACAGCTCCCAAGTTAAAACAGTACAACGCATCATCAGAGATCTACAACCTCTCCTGGACAATGACAGTTCTCTTTCTCAAGCTCTGGGAGGAAGACCTTTCATTGCCTACAGACAGCCACCCAATCTTAAACAACTCCTAACCCACAATAATACTACAACCAGACTTAACACGGACACTGGCACCAGAGCCTGCAATAAACCCAGATGCCAACTTTGCTGCCACATACACCCGGACAACACCATTACTGGCCCCAACAACATCACACATACCATCTCGGGACTATTTAATTGCTCATCGTCTAACATTGTGTATGCCATCAAATGCCAACAGTGTCCTTCAGCTCTCAATATTGGACAAACAGGCCAAACTTTACGCCAAAGAATAAACGGACATAAATCTGACATCAAGAATCACAAGACAGAGAAACCAGTAGGAGAACACTTCAATCTCCCAGGACATTCTATACAAGATCTCAAAGTAGCTGTTTTACTACAAAGGAATTTCAGAAATAGACTGGAAAGAGAAGCTGCTGAATTGCAACTCATTATCAAACTTAAAACCATGGAGAGACCTGGTCTGAACAAAGACATTGGATTCTTATCTCATTATACATGACAAAGCCATTTTTCACCTTCTCACCCCTTGCTTTTTCCTGTAAGACCTATTGCAGTCGTTAAGAGTCGTCAACAGGCTCATCACAGCTATCTGCCAATCACCCATTCCCACCACCCTTCTGAGTAATACCCCTCCCCACCTTCTCACTATATAGAAGGATCTGGCAACTTCTGTTTCAGTGTATCTGAAGAAGTGTGCATGCACACGAAAGCTCATACCAAGAACTAACTTAGTTGGTCTTTAAGGTGCTACTGGAAGGAATTTTTTTAATTTAAAATATGTAAGATGGAAATGCAACCATGTGTTTCTCTTCTTGTCTTCCTTGGCAATCACCCTCTGATGGAAATGGAGCATTTCTGTCTGCATTAAAATAGTAATAGTTTTTTGTTTGTTCTTCAGCAGTGTGGCTTTTACTAGAACCTTACCAAGGGTATAGTGTGCTCTCTCAATATATACATTTTTTTATTTAGTTAATAAATTTGTATCTCACCTTTCAGAAATATTTCCTCACATATGTACTGGCCTTGTGAATCAGGCTGAAGCTACAGTCTTAAACACACATTTACTCAGTGCTTTTTTTCTTAAAAAAATGTTTAGGGGTACTCTAATTTTGACTCAAGAAAATCACTATTTGGACAAAAGTACAAAGATTCACAAAATGTTTAGGTGTACCCCCTGCACACTCCCAGGGGGAAAAAGGACTGCATTTACTAACAAATAAGCTCCACTGTAGGCAGTGGGACCTCCTTAAACTGAGTTGTCAAGGAAGCAGGGTTCAAGAGATGCAAGTAATCCTGATTCCTCTTCAAAACTGCCCCTGATGTTAGTTTGTATAGATCAGAACTTAAGAAGAAAATCGACAAGCTGCAATGTGTTCAGAGAAGGGCAACCAAGATGATAAAAGGGTCTGGGAAACCAGGCCTTATAAGAAGCAAGGCCTTATGAAGGAGTTGGATATATTTAGCCTGGAAAAGATGAGACTGAGAGGAGAAACGATAGCCATTTTCAAATATCTAAAAGGCTGCCACATGTAGGATGGAGAAAGCTTTTTTTCTCCTTCTTCAGAGACCAGGACCCAAACCAATGGATTCAAGTTATAAGAAAAGAGTGTATACTTAAAACTTTAACCACCGCCTGGTTCTAGGGATGGAAGGAACCATGTTAAATTGAAAATCAGTATTGGTGTTAAAACTGAAACTCAGCATCGATACCATTGGATGTGAAGTTAAAGTACTTACCAAAATCCATGACATTTTTTGGTCTGTGTTGTTCATGGTTCAGATTCAAAGAAAAATTAGACATGGGTCAAAACTGGCAAACATGTTTAAATACATTTAACTTGTGTGCATTCCGCTTTAGGAGCATGGCAAAAAAAATTTAAAAAATTAAAAGGAGGTGCAAAGGGGGCAGAATTATGGGGGAAATGACTTTGGCAATCTTGCCTGCCATTGAACCCCAAGGGTTTTGACTATACACAATTTTGGCTTTAGGCACAATCCCTGGAATGTAACCCCCATGCAAGTTGTGGGCTTACTATATATATAAAAATCTCCAACCCAAACTAAAGATTCCCCGCCCAGCCACCAGAGGCACCAAGACTGGCATAACCACAAAAGGAAACAAGAAGAGCAAGGCCTGAATGTACAGGCTACAACGTTCATGAAGGTGCTTTGCACTTTACATCCAGAGAACCACAACAACTTAGCAAATGAAATATTAACGGAGCCATAAGATCATATACCTTCTTTTGCTCCTCAATGTAGCCAAAAGGATGAAGTAGTAGGAGACTCACTATTTGTGCCTTAAAACAGATTCAGGGTGCTGTTCTGCTAATGAGCACCAAGAATGACAAGGTGCATTTTTGAAGGTTATTGTTTATTTCATAAACGTGACACATGCTCCTAAAGCAGACCCAGGGGCTTTGCCTTACGCCACTTCTAAACTTGACTGCTGGCAGGGTGCTGTGTGGCATTACTGTGGCTCTTTATTTTCAGGTTCACTTGGCTTTTCCTCCTTTCCCGGTGCCTTCTCCTCCTCCCTCACTTCTTCCAATTCTTCTTTTGTGGATTTTGTGTTCCTCCTTGATCTGTATCCCCTGTATGTGGCTTGAATTTTTGTAGCAGCCTCTTCTTCAGTTAGGCTCACAATACTCATAGCTGCTGGTGGTTTCTCCACTCCTCCCTCCTTTACAATGGAAAAGAAAAAAACAAATGTACATGTCTAAGCTTTGCCTTTAACCAGATGAGCAGTTTGAAGAGATATACAGTGGTAAAGTGAAAGTGAAAGGGACCCCTGACCATTAGGTCCAGTCGTGGCCGACTCTGGGGTTGTGGCGCTCATCTCGCTTTATTGGCCAAGGGAGCCGGCGTACAGCTTCTGGGTCATGTGGCCAGCATGACTAAGCCACTTCTGGCGAACCAGAGCAGCGCACGGAAACGCCGTTTACCTTCCTGCCGGAGTGGTACCTATTTATCTACTTGCACTTTGATGTGCTCTCGAACCGCTAGGTTGGCAGGAGCAGGGACCGAGCAATGGGAGCTCACCCCGTCACGGGGATTCAAACCGCCAACCTTCTGATTGGCAAGTCCTAGGCTCTGCGGTTTAACCCACAGCGCCACCCACGTCCCATATACAGTGGTACCTCGGGTTAAGAACTTAATTCGTTCTGGAGATCTGTTCTTAACCTGAAACTGTTCTTAACCTGAAGCACCACTTTAGCTAATGGGGCCTCCTGCTGCCGCTGCGCCGCCGCTGCACGATTTCTGTTCCCATCCTGAAGCAAAGTTCTTAACCCGAGGTAATATTTCTGGGTTAGCGGAGTCTGTAACCTGAAGCGTATGTAACCTGAAGCGGATGTAACCCGAGGTATCACTGTATAGATCTCTCTTTGAAAAAGAGAATGAGAGCTTTAAAAGTAACTCAAACCTCCATTATTCCAGAGGCCTTTTGGAAGGTGGTTTATGAGTCCTAGGGTGGGTGGGAAAACAAAATGCAACTTGTTTTGTCATTTTTTAAATATGTACTTTCCACAATATATTCACAGGACTATTTTTAGTGCTAGATGTTCTGTGTGTCACTTGGGCAACTTTCCATCATTTTTTCAAAGGAAGTTTTGTCTGCTAAAAATGTGAGAATTTAACACTTAGAATTTAGATATTACCAACTGTTCATCCTTGGGATGCAAGAGGAAAAAATCCCCTACCAGAAGAGAGGGGAGCAATGCCATAGGCTGCAGTTGCCTAATCTGTTTGCCTGCAATGGACAAAGGCTTCAATGTCATTCAAACGTTACAAAATACAGAGGGTAGACTCTTCCATAGTTAAGAAGTTTCAAATCCCAGTGATTTCAATGGGTGAACAGAACAGAAGCTTAAGCCTGCAAATATCTGCACACCTACCTGGAAATAATCCCCACAAACACAGCAGGGCTTCTTTCTGACTAAATGTGCATATCATCATCATCAGGGCTGGGCAATATACCAATATATTGTCCAAAACCGGCTTTAAGTCCATATCATGATACCGGTTTCATAATTTCTGACCTGCCAATATATTGTGAATCATGTTGTGTGTGTGTGTGTGTTATACAAAAAGCAAGATGCGAAGAAAACCGTTAAGCCAGTCAGTGCCTCTACATAGCTCCAACCTTATTTCAGATATTGTGATACAGTGGTATAGCGGGCGATATGTTTAGCGGGCGGTATATCATGATGTTGAAAACCACCCAGCCCTAATCACCATCCTATTTGTTGCTGCCTTTCCACAAAAAGAAGCATGCACAATGTGGTTTACAACAAAGAAAAGAGTACTACACCTCAAAATCAACATTGCAAGAACAATTTCATAGTAGCATCATAAAATAACACAATAGCAATTATAACTGCATGGAAAAAGCAGTATTTCAATAATAGAGTATAAATATAACAAGATTAAATTAACATTACACCTTCTAGCAACAGTAGAAATAACAAGGGAGCATGACAGTTTCACCTTAGTCCTATGGTGTTGCTCACACTGCAAGCCTTTTTCATAGAAAGCATTGGGACTTTAAACACTTGGTTGGGCTGTGCCTACATTTTCCCTGATGGAACTTGTTGAACAAAAGTGTAACATAGCTCTCACTGATGAGCTGCTCCCTTTGACTGCAGGTTCAGAAATCCAACTCAAACATCCAGGTGTCTTGGGGAAATGTTAGAAATAGGGCAGGCATAGGCAAACTCTGGCCCTCCAGATGTTTGGGACTACAATTCCCATCATCCCTGACCACTGGCCCTGTTAGCTAGGAATGATGGGAATTGTAGTCCCAAACATCTGGAGGGCCAGAGTTTGCCTATGCCTGAAATAGGGCCAGCTGCCCATGACGTTGATTTCCAGAAGATTTCTATACAGATTAGGGCGATTTGCTTAGGAAAATTTCCTGATGCCTTGGAGAGGGCATGGGCGTAGCCAGGATTTATTGGGGGGGAGGCTTTATGTTAGGGGGGCAGAACCAAGTTATCTGCAATTGGTCAGTTAGTTAAGTATTTTTATTTCTTTACTTGATTTGAGTGAGACAACTGCCCACCCCTACCCCCCCCCGCTACTTACACGGGAGAGGGAGCTAATTCACAATGTTTGTTCTACCTGTATTTAAAACTAAGGACCTGACACCATCAAGCTTACCTAATATTGCATTTGCAACTGGCATCCATTCATAGTTACTAATTAATTTATGAAATGGGAAAACTTTCCATTGGAAAATTTTCTGTTTAATTTTCCCCACACCACATTGCCACTGTCTGCCACTTTATCCAAAGCAGATCTAGAGATGTGTTAACTGCTCTCACTTATGTGACTAGGCTAGTTTCTCTCTCCCCCCCCCCCCCGCATGCATTTAACTTCAAGTGAAGGATTTTTTTCCGTGGACCAGCAACTAGTGATTTGAAACTGGAATCCATGCAGGGAAGAAGAGACTCCATAGATTGCTACCGATGAGAGTCTCTGGGTTGTATCCAAAGTAGAGCTAAGTTGGTAAGTCACAGTCCTGTGTTCAGAAGGATTTCCGTTTGTGCAACAGATTCTTCCCTCCTCCCCATTCTCGGGGTTTCCCTAACCCTCTGGAAGGCACAGGGTGCACATGGTGGGAAGATGATGGGATGTTTTAGTTGGATGCCTCCCTCTGTAAAAAGCAATGGAAATTATTTAGAAAAGTGAAAAGATCTTGACAAATTGACTGTTGCTGCACTCTATGCAAAGATTACTCTGGCCTCACGGCAGCTTTTGAGCATGGCAAGGTCAGTAGTGATTTAGCTATGTAGCCAAGGGCTGAGAATGGTCTTCAGGTTCAAGAAAAGTACAGTGAACTCATTGAAGATTGCTTACTGGCTGTGCCTCAGATCCTTCCTTCTTCTCCTCTGCTTTATCACCACCTCCTGGTGGTGCAAGTTCCTGCAAAAACAAAGGCTATTTTCAATGCACTTGCTTGCAAGAAGAGCACCAGGGTCTGGTGGTACAGATGGTACTTAATTTAAGCCCAATCAAGGTGTAGGATGAGAAGGGTTAGGGAGTTGCTCACAATCATTTGGGTGTGTGGTTTTCTCTAGATCAGGGAACTTGTAGCTTTCCAGATGTTGTCGGACTCCATTTCCTCAACCAACGTGAGTCAGGATTGATGGAAACTGAAGTGTGACACCATTTAAGGTCACAAGTTCCTCACCCACAGTCTAAGAAGGGGTGGACTATGTGCTTTGATAGCCTCTGTGACCAAATCAACAAACACATTTGTTTTTTCTACCACCTTCCATAGTACTGTTACACAATTGACACATTCAAGTGTTAAATGAGCACCTAGAATTATTTCTGAGCTTTTGATTCAGTTCAGGCATAACAATGGGGGGGGGCAGATGTTTAACCGGCCCTTCCAAAGCACCACAGTGCTTCCTATGCTACTAAGCTGTCTCTGCCCACACCCTCTGGCCTGTTAGTCCCATCCCGTCCCCCCAATATGCCCACCATAAAATAAGACTTACATTGAAGGCATGGTTATTGTAGTATCGGTCGTCTATTTTTGCTCCCCATTCACATGGATCATAACCACTTTCTAAACAGAGTTTTGTAAAAGAAAATAAACACTGAATTATTTTATATAAAATAAGGGTCATATCCAATGCTGGTCACTAAAATTAAATAGGCATAGATAACTTGGATCTATTGTTCTTGTGTGTCTAATCTAAGTACAGTTTAGTTGGGGACAAACCCAAAATAAGCTACCCATTCAAGTATTTAGAGTAGCAGCTGCAATGAAATGCAGGTATCAAGTAACATGTCTTGGTCTAGTTATGCACATTCAGCTTTAGGGATTGTAGGATTATTTTTCTTTTAAAAATCTCTTAACTATTTATACTTACACCTGTGTACTTATATACAGCCAAGTGCAAGACAAAGGGGGAAGCAACTGCAAGATTCTCTATGGAGTTGAGTCAGGAATGTAAGTCAGAACACATGTATTTCCTTCCAAAAAAAGAGCAGAAACAACCAAGTATGATGGGTTATAGTAAATGAGTGAATGGGCAAAACAATGCTTTAAAACATCTTGTTTTCGACAGGGGAAAAGGGTCTGATAATGAAAGAAACGTAGAGTAAGAGCTGGAATGATACACATCATGAAACATTTGCCCAATCTTACTGAGTTAAGGTATCCAATTTTGCATGAGTAGGTGGGAAGTAGAATGGTAATCAAGGACAGTTGGGTGGCAAAATGAGAAGTGACTATACTGGCTACTCATACCATTTTAAGTAACAGATGGTGCAAAAAGGAGTTAGTACATTGCAATCCTATGCACGTCTCCTGAGAAATAAACATTTACTCCCAAGAAAGTATCAATAGTATTGCTGCCTATATCTGTTTTCAGCAACTACTTCAGGTCCCACAAACTGAGAGCTGCTACTTCATTTGTACTGCTTTGGAGGACCAACCCCATCTTGCGTACAACTGCTTATTCCACTCTGTTCATCATCACCTATCCTAAGCAGACAACATCCACAGGTACATTAGTCACAGGCAAGAAACAATCTCAGTGTCCTGTAACCCAAACTCTTTCTTTTTAGATGCATAGCCTGCTTTTGGGCTGGAATACACAAACAGGCTTGAGGGACGCGGGTGGCGCTGTGGGTAAAAGCCTCAGCGCCTAGGGCTTGCCGATCGGAAGGTCGGCGGTTCGAATCCCTGCGGCGGGGTGCGCTCTCGTTGCTCGGTCCCAGCACCTGCCAACCTAGCAGTTCGAAAGCACCCCCGGGTGCAAGTAGATAAATAGGGACCGCTTTCTAGCGGGAAGGTAAACGGCGTTTCCGTGTGCGGCTCTGGCTCGCCAGAGCAGCGATGTCACGCTGGCCACGTGACCCGGAAGTGTCTCCGGACAGCGCTGGCCCCCGGCCTCTTGAGTGAGATGGGCACACAACCCCAGAGTCTGGCAAGACTGGCCCGTACGGGCAGGGGTACCTTTACCTTTACACAAACAGGCTTAAGGCGTTCATACAGTTCAACAGTTTCCTTTGAGACAGTAAAATATTTTTAAAAACCTAAACAACAAAACAAATGCTCACAATGTTATTATATTTCATCACCTCAGACCAAGGAGATATCGGTTCAAATATCCACCCAGCTACAAAGCTCACTGGGTCATCTTAGTATTCTCAGCCTAGCCTACATTACAGGTTGCAAGGATAAAGTGGGTGCACTACCTTGAACTCTTTGAATGAAAGGTAGGATAGAAATGAAAGCCCCTTTTAAAAAATACTGAACTCAAGAAAAGGGGGGGGTCAACACAACCAATGGGGGGGAAGAGTCCAGGTGATTCACAATAACAGATATATAATGGCATCTTCAACTCATGCGGCAGCTAGACTGGTGACTAGGAGTGGCCACCGAGACCACACAATACGGGTTCTGAAAGACCTACATTGACTCCCAGTATGTGAGTCATGCAGGCTGGAACTGATGGTAACTGGAGTTCAACAACAACTGGAGGGTGACATGCTCTCTCTCCATCCCTGTCCTAAACATGACTTTTTAGACTCTTAAAAAGCAAACATAAGAAGCTTAGCCTGGCTCCCCATGTTTGGAAATATTTTTCCTGTCCCGCTTATGCAGACAGATCTGCACGGTGTCCTTAAGTTGCATAATAAAATCTGGCTTCACAATTTGTGTTTCAGGGCCAGGTGGATAAGGTGTAGAACTCACAGAACTCCATTATGAAACTGCTGATGCTGCATGCCCTATAAAATTAAAATAACCCTCCTGAGTGTCAGTCTGCCTAGCAACATCTACACGTATAGAACCAATTACATTCTGAAGGTCTGCTAAAGAACAGTGTATTTTGAAAGGAGGGTATCATTCCAAGCAAAAAAGTGTAGGCTTCTACCTGCAGCTCTGAGGCACAACTGAGTATTGCCTCTGGGAAGAGGAAAACTAATTATGTGAGATGGTAAGGGGTTTTCTCTTGCACCCAGAACATTCACTGCTCACTAACTTTCCTTGCATGACGCTATAAACCTTCTCCAAAAGTGTCATTTACTAGACATTTTAAAAACAAAGAAGAGGCCAAATAGCTCTGAGCTTCACTGTGAGTCATCCTGCAATTAAAAACACCACCACATGTTTGTAGCTTGGTCAATCAGCAAGACTGCTTCCTCCGGCCGGCTATTTTTTAAAAAATGCTTCATAAAAATTCTCCCAGAGAACTAGGAGTACCACATTATCAAGAGAAGGCCACAACAACATGAAATTAATCATACTTGGATTGCTGTCAAATAGCTTCAAATCCATCAGGGGCTTTTTCCTTGCCTCAAGATGCAATCCTACTAACTATCAACACACTTTCCTGGATAGTAAGTACCTATATATAAAGTAGACAGGAAAGTCCTACACCTGTCTACACACTATGCAACAGTGTGTAAGAAACCTTCTATCTTGGGAAAGGGAAGTGTAAAGATGTGGAATCTTTGCTTCTTGTTCACAGAGCAAGCCATGCACTCTGTACTTGCACACCAAACGGCCAAGAAGGGAAAGAGGAACATGTCTTCTCTGCACCCTCAGACTTCCAATGCATTTTCTTCTCCCCATCCCACCAATCTAGGTTGCCCATGACCTAAAGAAAATGCCTCTGTTTGTGTAAAGCTAGCACTGGGTAGTGTTTTATGGCTGCAACCACAAACAGTAAACTTCCACATCTGCCCTCCAGATGCTATGGACAGCTTCAATCATCCATAAATATTGAAAGACTGTGAGTGATAGAAGCTGTAGTTTAAAAGATCTGGAGGGCACCAGTTGAGAAAAGTTGCTGTACACACTTACCTGGAAGTCCCACTGAGCACAGTGGGACTTCTGAGTAACCGTGTATAGGATTAGGTTGGTTTGGATCTTTCCTTAGGGAGAAGAATGTGTGCACATATACGTTAAACATATGTGATATTATCTCAGTTTATGCTCACTTTCTCTTTCAATGAGAAGAGTTTCAAAATACTTGGCTGCAAAGCTTGGTATATCCACAGGCTGGCTCCTCAAGACTTCCCTGGCAAGCCCTTCGAGCAGATTTGCAAATCCTGGAGGAATGCGTTGAGTGGTGTTGGAGAATGGAATGGACATTGTCTCTCAATAGGTTTCTATCCCACCTGCAGCTTCATTAACAAGAAAAATGAATTATTTTTGTATCTGAAAAACAGAATTTTTGTTGGTCTAATACATACAGATGTTACAGGTATTACAACTGAAGTTATGAAACTCATACATTCCCCACCCACTGCATCATTTACTGAATGAAGCGTGAACACAAATGCCTACATTATACTTAAGACACAAAGAGCACAAAATAACAATAATCATCACTGCAATTTGCTATCTGATATTCAGATATCTGCAACGGCAGCTTTACTCTGGAGCTGCAATGCCTTATTTATGAGATCTGTTGATGAAAAACGTTTTGATCAACCCGAAACAAGAACTCATTTAACCAGGGACAAGGTATTTAATTTAAAATAATTTTCTTTCAGGACCACAGACTGCACTTCCTTCTCTTTCTTACTATGAAACCAGAGAAGCCATGCCGGGGGGGGGGGAGGAGGAGAGTAATTTAAAATTATTTTTGATACAGGTTCTTATATGGCAAGTGCCATATCAAGGCAAAATGCCCACAAATGAAAGACAAAAGATGTTCCTCTTCTAACATGATGTTTTTTGCATGAATAACTCCCCTTTTCTTCAAGAAAAGGGGTGCAGCTAGCATGAAGGAAGGCTAGGAAGGCAGCCTCAGATCTTCCTGTAAGAGGAGGGACCTCCTGCCTCAATCCCAGATGACTTCCTGACTTCATGGTGAATGGTCAGACACTGAGAGGGCTGCTGTTGTAGGCAGACCCTGGTGCAGGGCTGGGCCAGATGTGGTTCTTCAGGAATTTCTAGCTGACCATCAGAATGTCCCCAGCCTACACACCCTCCCTAGCTGCACCATCTGTAAATATTTTTCCCCTGGCTGGATTGTGTCCTTGAATACTGATGACTCTTGTGTGTCTGGATAGAGCATAGAGAGTGGGGTCTGTGAGTGTCTGTGTTGAAGCTAGCCTAAAAAGAGAGATGCAACTCTGCTTGAGGAAGAGTTCATTTATTAATTATATATCTTGTTGCAATTTATGAAAGCATGTATACTTTTCATGTTGCAAGCCACCTTGAGCATGGTTTGAACAGTGGAAAGGTGATATACAAATAAAATTACTGATGTATGTACACAGTGCTTTTTTTCTTAAAAAAATGTTTAGGGGTACTCTCATTTTCCTACTCATATTGAAATACTGCCCCTCAATGATGCCAAACTTAGATTCACAAAATGTTTAGGGGTATGCATACCCCTGCATCCCCCCAGAAAAAAGCACTGTTGTACATATGCTATGCTTGAATGCATCACCTAAACACAAAAAGTATGCTATCTTCCGCAGGAATCCCCCCATATGCAAATTTATCTGTTTATGTGATTAAAGTTCATACACTTAACTCACAATGTTTCGTCAAGCAGGCCCTACTTTTTAAAGCTTGGGAGTACATATTTCCACTAGCTAATTGCAGTTCAAACAGATGTTTAAAAGCACAGCCGTCAATACAAAAGTCAAAGATTCAATAGAGCACCTCTGTTTCCTCAGTTCTGCCATTAGAAATAAACTCTAGGATATTAAATGACAACAGTTTGTTGTAAAGTTCTCCTTATGAATTTAGTAGCAAGCAAAGTCAGGGAATGCAGGAGTTACAGAAGATAGAAGCCTTAATTCATTCTATTCAGTACATATTACACCTCTGCTAAAATTTCAGTTGCCTTTTATACAGTCACAGTTTACCTTCACAGCTTGAGCGAGGTTACAAATATGAGTTTGTGCACCTCTCATTACCCTAATGGATGTAATTAGAAGCGCAAGTACTCAGATCTGGAAACAGGAAACAAACTCATACATTCGCAAACACTTTCAACAGTGCAATCTTATACGTACATGTCTAAGTACTCCACAACAAGCAGAATTGGACTTTCTCTTAATTAAGTGTGTATAGGATTGCAATCCTATGCTAACCACCTGGAAATAAGCACCACTGAAAACAGTGAAGCTTCTTTCTCAGTAAACATATAGTAATGTACTGCTAATAAGGTAACTGTGATTGCAATCAAACTATACTTAAGTCTCCTTGACCTCAATGGGTTCTGCATTCTGAGCTGCCTGCAAAGGATCAGAATGCAAAACTTACATGAATTTGTAATTTTTATTTGGGAAAATATTTTAAATTGTGGTATAACTACTGCCTGTAGCTCCTTGCAGTCCTGAGAACACTTACTTGAGAATAAGTTCCACTGAACTCAGTGGGATTCATACTCAAGTGAGTATACAGCTTCGGTCCTGTATACCTGAAGGAGCATCTTACCCTTCATTGTTTAACCTGGACACTGAGGTCCAGTTCTGAGGGCCTTCTGGCAGCTTCCTCATTGTGAGAAGTGAAGCTACAGGAACCAGGCAGAAGGCCTTTTCTGGTAGTGGTACCCACCCTGCAGAATGCCCTCCCCTAGACAAATGAAGGCAGCCCTGTATCAGGAAACCTTTAATGTCTGATGCTTTGTTGTGTTTTTCTTATATTCTTTTGGAAGCTGCCCATCATGGTTGGGACAACAAGTTATAAATAATAATTACTATTATTTCTATGTAAATATGCACAAGATTGAGCTGCAAACTGTGGATTTAGTAGCCTTACTGACAAAACAGACAGAAAAGTCTACATTCAAGGTTCAATTCAAAATGACCATTATTTTTAATTTTAAAACATATATAGCACCCTTATATAGCCCTTCATTTTGTTTAGGATTCTAGGGCAATGTACAATTTACTGGTCACCGTGCTTTCTTGTTCTATCTTTGAGATCAGCATAGAAATGTCACAGACATCTTTGGCCCCTGCAATTCCCCCAACTCGGTTTATTCTTGTCTATCTTTAACATGTTACCATTCAACATGGTTGATATTATTAATTTATGATTAATTTCTTAACCTCCCTTCACCATGAGGTCCCAGAGCAGGTTACAACAATCTAAAAATACATTAAAAGATGACTTGTAATGAGCTATACCTATTATTAGGGATTAGTGACCTGTTTTCCAATTCCATTATTTTATAATGATCTTTTTTTTAAAGCACTTCCTGGAAGAAGAGGAGCTGGGCCACTTCTAGACTGTCACTAATTTCAGGTGGAATTCAATCACATGCCAACAAATGTGAATAAATGCACAATAAATAGGTCTGGAAGTGCCCTGGGTCTCCCATTTGCTGTGAATCTGCACACACAAACATCAGACAGATGCTCTGCTTTCAAATGCAAGAGTAACAATCCCTGGTTACTTCCACACAACCCATTCACTGAATGTTCATTTTGATCTTGATTTGTTTGCAAGGAGGTAACATGATGTCGCATGAAGCAAATTTAATCCCGTACTGGCTGAGACCCTACCTGCCTGCAGACTGTCTCGCCAGAGTGGTGCAAGCTCTAGTTATATCCCACTTGGACTACTGCAATGCAGTCTGTGTGGGACTTCCGTTGAAGGTGACCTGGAAACTACAATTAATCCAGAATGCGGCAGCTAGACTGGTGACTGGGAGTGGCCGCCAAGACCATGTAACACCAGTCCTAAAGGATTTTCATTGGCTCCCAGTGTGCTTCTGAGCACAATTCAAAGTGTTAGTGCTGACCTTTAAAGCCCTAAACGGCCTCAGCCCAGTATACCTGAAGGAGCATCTCCACCTCCATCATTCAGCCCGGACACTGAGGTCCAGGTTCAAGGGTCTTCTGCTAGTTTCCTCCTTGCAAGAAGCAAAGTTACAGGAAACCAGGCAGAGGACCTTCTTGGTAGTGGCGTCTGCCCTGCGGAACAGCCTCCCATCAGATGTCAAGGAAATAAAGAACTATCTGACTTTTAGAAGACATCTGAAGGCAGCCCTGTTTAGGGAAGTTTTTTATGTTAGAAGTTTTATTTTGATTTTAATGTTATGTTCAAAGCCACCCAGAGTGGCTGGGGAAACCCGGCCAGATGGGTGGGGTAGAAATTATATTATATTATATTATATTATATATTATTATTAAAAATGTCAGTCCCTCAACTCAGCTGCCATTATTATTATTATTATTATTAAAATCCAGTGCATTTTCCCCTCACTTTCTTCAGCGCAGAGTTTAGGAAATCCACTTTAAAGGCGCACCCTGAACTGGACAGCTTGAGGCGGAATCCCATCGGCCGAGTTGAACCAGTGGAAGCACCGGGGGGGGGTGGATTCTGTGGACCTCAAGACGTTGCTGGACTGTGGGTCCCAGCAGCCCCAAACCAGACGGGCCAACGGCCAGGATTAGCCGTAGACCCACTTATTCCCCACTGCCTGGGTTAGTCGCCCCTTCGTGTGGACGAGGCACTCTGCCCATGCTCAGAAACACTCGCCCTCTCCCGCCCCACCTGAAGGTGACGTCACAAAGCGGCTCCTCGCACTCCTATCAGTCTTATCCCACCTCGGCCTATTTGACTGTGGGGAGCGGGAGAGGAAGCGGCGGGAGCGACAACGAAACCCCACCTCTCGGCCCTTTTTCTCAGCTCGCCTGAGAGAACCAAGAGAAAAGCTCTGCGTTTGTTGTCAGTTACCTTGGCAACCCAAACGGGACGGCAAGCGGGGAGGGACACAAGAGCGAACCGTTAGTGTAGCTGTCGGCCGGTCGCTCTCGCGCAGCCCCGGATTCGTTCTCCAAACCAAGGCCCGCCTCTCGGATGCCCGGAGCAGCCCACCTATTGGACGACGGACCCGCCTTTCAAGCAAAAGTTTCGCCCCCTCCCCCGCCCGCCCACTCGAGGCCTCCGCTTATTGAAACTGCCTCAGCGCCGCCCTCGGGTTTCACCTGGTTGCCCGTTTACGCAAGGGGAAGCTCGCGGCGTGGCCAGAGAAGGAGGCGGTGGCGAGGCCAAGCCTTTTGGCCGAAGCAGGGGAGCCAGCGCTCCTGTCGCGTCTAGTCAGGGCCCATTGACTTGGGACTCTGCGGGGCGGAGCGGGGGCCGGCAGCCGCCTCAGGGGTTCGCGAAGGCCTTACGCAACAAACGGCGGCGGCGTCACGCGACGCCCCCCCACAGCCGCCTCAGCCCGGCAACATCCGGGGATTCAGGGGCCGCGGCCTAAGTTGGGGAGCGGGCAGGTACAAAGCCGCCGCCCGGTGCGCCCTGTTAGGGTGCCGGGGCTGCCCAAGGGAGACTCGGGCGCCAGCTCCTGGTAGGCCGCGGGCTAACTGGGCCAGCCGCGCACCTGAGCAGGGTTGTTCTGAGCAATCGCATACGTTGCTTCGGTCTTGGGGAGGAAAGCCCGGAGAAAAATAAAATGCAAAGAGATTGTTCTGGCCGAAGGAATTAAGAGGCTGTGGGAGCCAAGTCCCCATCTGTCATAAAAGACTCTTGAGCCAAAACCATCCTTCGCCATAGCCTGATGGTTCTGGAATAAAGTTGTTGAAGCCTTGGACTCTCCAGAAGAAAGGCGGGATATAAATGCATGGTTAAATCAAGAGTAATGCTGACATATTTTACCCATTTGACATTATGGGATTTGTAGAGACAGTCGGAATTGCTATGTACCTTCATCCTTTGCTCAGCAGACCATTCTTTGCTAATGTGTCCAGGTAATTTCTCAGGAGCAGTTTCAGCAAGTGCTTTTTAAAAAACGCACACATTATAAAATAATGGAATTGGAAAACAGGTCACAAATCCCCAGTGTCCTGCTCATTACAAGTAATCTTGCAAGTAAGTATAGACACGTGCACAATAAGAGATTATTCCTGAAGCCCAAATTTGGGGAGTTGTGTATATATTTCTGGTAGGGATGGTGGGAGCTCTCCACCCGGCAACATCCGAGGTTTTTAGGGCCTAAGCTGCCCCCTTATGGTGCTCAGTAGGGAGCAGGCAGGTACAAAGCCCCGACCGGTGTGCTCTGTTGGGGTGCCAGGGTTGCCCAAGGGAGACTCAGGTGTGAGTCCTTTTTGGGCTGTGGGCTTCCTCTGGGACAGCTGCACACCCGAGCCTCTCTCACAGAGTTGTTGTTGAGCAATTGCATACGTTGCTTTGATCTTGGGGAGGAAAGGCCAGAAATAAAATGCAAAGAGATTGTTCTGGTCGAAGGGGTTAAGATGCTGGGGTTCTTATTCTTATTTATTCTTACTACTTTGTTAAAATAAATTTAAAAATGGGGGAGGGGAGAGACTGGGGGGAGCCCAAGTCCCCATCTGTCATAAAGGACTCTTGAGCCAAAATATCATTCACTTACAGAAATTATAGAAACCATCAATTCTAGCATGCGGAAGGCCACCTAAATTACATAATTTGGTATTTGAATGATTTGTATTAGAAATTGTATTATAATTTGGCATTGTTATCATGAAGCTCTTATTGGATTGTTGTAATTGAAAACTAATAAAAAATATTATCAAAATCATTATTCGCCATAGCCTAGTTTAGGCTCTGAAGGTTCTGGATTAAAGTTGTTGAAAGTTGTGAAAACCACCTTGAACTCTACGGAGGAAAGGTGGGATATAAATGTGTTGTTAAATCGAGTAATATTAACATATTTTACTGATTTGACATGGGATTTGTAGACAGTTGATGGTTGCAATGCTATGTACTCCTGCAATCCTTTGCTCAGCAAACCATTATTTGCTAATGTGTCCAGGTAATTTCTCAGGAGGAGCAGAAGTCTAGACATGTGCTCAAAAGCTCTGCAGTAAGAGACTACTCCTGAAGCCCAAATTTGGGGAGTCGTGTATATATTTCTGGTAGGGATGGTAAGAGGCTGGGGTAAGAAATGTTAGGCTACGATACTGCAAAGGCTACCTATTCCTATCCGTGGCAGACCTGAAGCCACATGGCTGAATAAAGCAGAAATCGTGTTATATAGCATTCCAGCTGGTGGAGGGCATTTCAAATGGAAATCATGCCCCACACCCATCCCCTTTTTTTTGCCCCAGGTCAATTGTGAGATCACAAGGAACCTCGCCTCTTTAAGATAAACTGGCTGCTGGAATTCTGCACGCCCTAGAACCACGTGCTGTTACTTCCTTCTTTTGTTTGGTCAGAGGGGCCATGGCTTCTTCCGTGCTGCTTGTGTTGCTGTTGGTTTGGAGGGCAGGTGAGTGCGGAGGGCGGGAGCTGCCCCTCACAGGAAAATGTCCTTTGCTAGGAGACATGTACACAAAAGGGCTAGAGGGGAAATTTGAAACGGTAGCAACTGTATTCACATTAGTCACAGAATTTTCGTGTTTATTCACCTTCCTGTTTGAATCTCCTGATGTGAAGGGATTGCAGTTCTTTCAAAAAACAAAACTAATAGCAAGGACAGACAGAGGTTTTTTTGTGAGAAGCATTGGAGCATAGCAACCAGAACTGTGATTTCTAGCACAATAAAAAAATCCAGAATGTTTGCTTCCTCACCAATTCATTTGTTATGAAAAGTCAGCTTTTGCAGTGTAACTGTCACTACCCTGTGCTTTCAGCATTTCACTTTCCTCTCATCACACTTTTAGTATTAAGTCGGGCTTAATATTAAATAAAGTGGTTCAAATATTGCTAGCCGGTGACTGGAAACAGGTTTTTTGTTTTAAACTTACTGGATTTTCCCTGGAAAGAATATCTGGATTAAATGGGGATGATTTATGGGGTGGCCTTTTGATGCCAATGTGGATGCTGGGAAAAGTTGCATGCAAGGTTTCAATAATAGGTTTATGTGTCTGTGCATCATATTGCAGATATCCAGCTAACCAGCTTCATCGGGTTTTTTGATGTGAACATAACATCCCATACCATGCTTGCTTTCGTTGTGTTTAGTTTTTATGTGTTTGTCTCCTTAAGTTATATTTTGTTATTTGGGTTATATGGCTAATAATTCAGTAAAAAATACTTTCACAAAAAAAAGAAATGAAAAAGCATCCTGGGGAGGGGTTTTCCAAAAAGGCAAAAGAAGCATGCATATGAAAGATTTTCTTGAAATCTAAGAACATTTCAGGGTGAAGAAAAGTAAAATGTCTGCGGATTTGTTCCTCTTTTCACTAACAGACCTGGCTTCCTTGACAAACTTATACAGACTGGCAGCTGTTTCTGCAATCAGAAAAAAAATCTAACTGTTGATTGGCTGCAAAGCAGCCCATTTCCCACAGGAACATTCCAGAGAAACCCTAACTACTAACAAGAATGTCACAACATTTTGTGTTCTCCCAGGTGCTGAGCTTCGCCTTGCCGCCTATTATGGCGATCACATGGTACTGCAGAAGCAACCAAGTCAGGCCGTCATATGGGGCTATGGGGATCCTGGCGCCAACATAATAGTGACTGTTTCTAAGGATCGCAACGTTATGGAAAAAATGACAGACATTAAAGGTAAAAAAGGCAGATTCAAGTGGCGGATTCAAAGCCAACAAAAAGCAGAATTGTGGTTTTTACACATTGCTTCCTTAAATTCTCAGATATGTTGCCAACAGATGTTATGACCACCAGCTTGAGTGGCTATAGAAGAGATTAAGCAGATTCATGGAGGATAATGCTACTAGCCGTGGGGTTGCATCCAACTATGTATTATTGCTCCATGTTTTTGTTTTACAAATCACCTTGAGAATATTTTTAGATGTTAAAGGCGGCACGAACATATTTCATCTAAACAAATATTAGCTTCAGTTTCGGAGGCAATATGTCTCTGAGCACCAGTTGCTGTGGATCACAAGTGGGAGAATGCTATTGTGCTTATGTCCTGCCTGTGGGCTTTCCAGAGGCATCTATAGACCACTGTGGTCATGGCTCTTGGTCTGATTCATTTGGGTTCTTACATTCTTAAAGTATAAAAAGCTTGCCCCACTGCCCAATCCTAACACACAGTCTCCTGAACGGCACAACTTTATTTGACTTATTTGTGCCTCAATTGCATACTTCTGTGAGTACCAGTAGGGTACAGGGATCCCATAAAGAGGGAATGTTTCTTGTGACACAAGTTAAGCATTGATAAAATGGAGGAATCATTGGTCCGAGATTCTGGCAATCTGTTGGCTTGGTTTAGGCATGTATACTTTCCTTGGAACACATTCCATATGATAATAAGCCTGAGATCTTAGGTGTCCTTTTTATGTTGAGATCCGTAGAGACACCATCGATCCTTTGCTGAAGAGGCTTGCCGATCTTTCAGACAAGTCTAAACTTAATTCTCTCCTCTTAGGCAAAGATCCTAAGACGACCTGGCTGGTAGCCAGATTCTGCGCCTAGATTTGTAGGCACAGATCATCCTCTAGAATAAAATAGCTTACTAGGGAAATGCTGAAATAGCCCTTTGGGGTGCCTCAGGGTCAACTTTTTATGGTAGCCCAAATCTCAGTTGTACAGGTGTATGTATATTTCTCAATTTTAATTCAGGAGCTATTGCTGCAATCTGCTCCAATTGTATATTTTATCTTTATGAACGCTGTTTTTATTGTGTTATGTTATGTGAGCTAGTTTTTGACCATAATAAATTATCTATCTAAGCCTGAGATCTTTGTAAATTCTCTCCCCCCCCCCAAAAAAAAAAAGGCTCTGGGATCTGGAAAGTACTCCTGAGTCCTATGGCCCAAGGTGGCCCTTTCAATATACATATACGGCAATACTGGACGGGACAGGAATCAAATGTGACGTTGAACGATGTCTACTTTGGAGATGTCTGGTTTTGTAGTGGACAAAGTAACATGGAAATGACAGTTTCTCAGGTAAGCCACATCACTATAGAGTGCAGCATATGCTCCATTGGGAGGAAAAGTTCTGATAAAGGCCAAGTTCGGACAATATGCAAAGCCATGATTTCTGTTGCTTATGCAGGGGTGGGAAACGAATGACCCTGTAGATGTTGCTCAACAACAACTCCCATCATCTCTGACCACTGGCCATACTGGCTGGGGCTGATGAGACCTGGAGTCTAACAACATTTGGAGGGCTAGAGCAGTGTTTCCCAACCTTGGGCCTCCAGCTGTTTTTGGACTACAACTCCCATCATCCCTAGCTAGCAAGACCAGTGGTCAGGGATGATGGGAATTGTAGTTCAAAAACAGCTGGAGGCCCAAGGTTGGGAAACACTGGGCTAGAGGTTTCTACCCTTGAGCCAAACCTGAGCCTGCCTCCCAAACTTTGATTTGATTGTTGCTGACAAATCCAGATCTGAAACCATGGGTTCAGGCTTTCTTTCAGGTTTGCTATTGTGTCTGAATTCACAGGTTGCAGTTAGGGCCATTGCTTTGCTTCAGGAGGTTGCTGCACATGCAAATGGGAATGAATTTGATAAGCTTACAGGCTGACGGCTAAATGTGGATTAGAAGACAACACAAATATTGTGCTCTTGTGTTGTTCAGCCACTCCTCTGACTCAGCCAAGGGAGGGGATCCCGCCTTCTCTCCGGGCAGAGGGGATTGGGTGGGCTCGTTTGTCCTAGTTTCTGAGTTTCCCGATAGTGACTCCTGCTCCAGTTGGGACAATCTTATTTTTCCTGTGAAGGGCCCACCATCACAATCCTCACTCCCAAGTTAAAAGAACAGTTTGATTGTTTTGAACTTTGCTTAACTGTATTTCAGTAGAATCTGCCCTGTTTCCTAGATATTCAATGCCAGTAAGGAGCTTGCAGAGGCTTCCCATTACTCACTCGTCCGTGTGTTTTCAGCCGGTCTTGTCCAGTCTGAAGTGGAACTGCAGGACCTTGCCAGCGTCAGCTTGCCGTGGTCTATTCCAACAGCCAGTAAGAGCCTTTTTTTAAAAAAGCAAAACCTCCGGCAAACCATCTGAAGCAGAGGTTTTGAGTGTGTTCTGTCAAAAGCAGGCATCTTCTGTTTGTGGTTTGGCCGGTGGAGTAAGAGTTGAACAATTTTCCTTCCTGAACTGTACCATGGACTTCAAGGTCAAAAAAGACCTTGGAGATTTAGTTAATGGAAGCAAGCATCTCAAATATCTCTACCGATCAACGGGCACTTTCATTCTGGCTCAGATACATGATGATCCACACAGCCTGCTACACAGTTTCTGAGAGTGGCCAACATTAGCTGCTTCAGTAGAGCATGTAGTAGTTCTTCAGTATTCCATTCCCTTATCTATCACAGCTGTACAATGGCTAATATATGAAAATACAGCAGCAGAAATTATTTTTGTAATACAGCATTTAGTTGTATTACATTTAGTTGCATTATTAGTTTGCAAGTTTGTATATGCTCTAAAGTTTCTTTTAACATTGCATTGAACAGAGAACCTTGGCCATGGAGACTTCAGTTACTTCTCTGCTGTGTGCTGGCTCTTTGGCCGGTATTTGTTCGAGAAGCTCAAGTATCCCATAGGACTGATAGACTCCTCCTGGGGAGGGACACCAATAGAGGCCTGGTCTTCCAAGAGGGCACTGCGGGAATGTGCAATCTCAGGATACTCTAAAAAGTAAGGAGGGTTAATGACAGTATGCTCTGTTCCTTCCAGCCGTGTTAGACTGGTTCCTCAGTACACTGAATGCTTTCCACTATTACAGAATATTGTGTGCTCACTGGCTTTGCAGCACCTCCTTCCTGTGCGGAAACAGCACACAAGTGTCCACACAACCTGCGGTCCTGCAGATGGTGTTGGACTCAAACTCCCATCTTCCTTAACCATTGGCTAAGCTGATAGGAGTTGGAGTCAAACAACATCTGGAGGGCTGCAAATTTCCGTACCCCTGGCGTAATCCCATTTGGCACTAGAAAGGCAGTGCAGTGTGTCTGACTTGTGCCTAGTTTCTTGCAGGTCGGATGAATAACCTTGGACCCTGCAATCATTATGATAGGAATGTAAGAAGAGTATACTTCCCCCGCCCAGAAGCCAACCAGTTACATTTAGGAGTTCCCCAAGCAGGACACAGGGACAATAACCACCTACTTCTTTCCTCCATCACCTAGTATCCAGAAGCATGTTGCCTCTGATCCTGAAGGCAGCAGTGTAGCTCTCATGACTAGAAACCATTGATAACCTTATCCTCCATGAATTTGTCTTAACCATTGACACATATTGTGGAAATATGGGGTGCGGGTGGCACTGTGGTCTAAACCACTGAGCCTCTTGGGCTTGCTGATCAGAAGGTCAGTGGTTCAAATCCCTGCGACAGAGTGAGCTCCTGTTGCTCTGTCCCAGCTCCTGCCAACCTAGCAGTTTGAAAGCACACCAGTGCAAATAGATAAATAGGTACCGCTGTGGCGAGAAGGTAAACAGCGTTTCTGTGTGCTCTGGTTTCTGTCATGGTGTTCTGTTGCACCAGAAGTGGTTTACTCATGCTGGCCACATGACCTGGAAAAGCTGTCTGTAGACAAACACCAGCTGCCTCTGCCTGAAGCAAGTTGAGCTTCGCACCCCATAGTCGCCTTCAACTGGGCTTAACCGTCCAGGGGTCCTTTACCTTTACTTTTTTATTGAGGAAGCATATTCCATGACCTGGGAAAGCTGGTGTTTTCTCTTGGTTTAGTTCTAACATGGTTTAAAGGGTTCAGTCCTTGAACATGTTATCACCATGAAAGCTTTTCTACAGTTTTGCTGTTTTATTCTGACAGTAATGAGAGAGGTGTATGTAACAAGATATTTGCACAAATAGGATGAGTTCTCTGAGGTGTACAGATACCATGACAAAATAAATGATGTTGCTAATGTATTCTACTTTATGAAAAACCATTGAAACATTTTTTTAAAAGAGTTACGTTTAAAAGCCTCTGGTAAGACATATATGACCAGGACAGCTTCAGAACAATGCAGTAACATAGCCTGAGCTGTGTAGATGTGTGCTTAATCCTTCAGCACTCTCTGATCACAAATATTCAGAAAAGTGCTTCACCAGCCGGAAATCAAGCATTGGCTGCTTGCTGTAAATTCTTTTCTAATTGGTCGATCTCGTATGTTGCAGGGCTGCTTCCTTATCCATTGATTCTGGCCCCAAAGTGTTATCAGTGCTCTGGAACGCCATGATTCACCCTTTTCTCAACATGACCCTCCAAGGTGTTATTTGGTATCAAGGTAGGTATTAATAATAATAATAAAATTATTATTTATACCCCTCCCATCTGGCTGGGTTTCCCCAGCCACTCTGGGCAGCTCCCAACAGAATAATAATAATAATAATAATAATAATAATAATAATAAGCAATAAAACATATAACATTAAAAACTTCCCTAAACAGGGCTGCCTTCAGCTGACTTCCAAAAGTCAGATAATTGTTTCTTTCCTTGACATCTGATGGGAGGGCGTTCCACAGGGTGGGCGCCACTACCGAGAAAGCCCTCTGCCTGGTTCCCTGTAACCTCACTTCTCGCAGGGAGGGAATCGCCAGAAGGCCCTTGGCGCTGGACCTCAGTGTCCGGGCAGAATGATGGGGGTGGAGACGCTCCTTCAGGTATACTGGTAGGCCCCACAACAGAGTTGAGCAGGAATTGTATCACTATAGCTACCCCATCTGGGCTATTTCCTGCTTTGTGTGCCCTACCACAGGTGAAGCGAACACCCTTATAGACACCAGTCTGTACAACTGCACATTTCCTGCACTCATAGAAGACTGGCGGAAAGGCTTCCATGAAGGGTCTGACTGGCAAACTCAGCGGTACTTTCCCTTTGGCTTCGTCCAGGTAAGTGGCTATAGGGTGGTGGCTTGAGCCCTGAGCTATCAGCTGTGAGACAACTGCAGGAAGGCAGCACTTTCTGCAAGCAGCGGGAGCCGGTATCAATTTGTCTCCCATCCTAGCTATTTCCTATGTTTTGCACCACAGCCGAGTATTTTCTCACATCTGTCTTCGGACCTCAGCCCCCTCCCCAAAACATATTGTGTAGAACCACTCACTCCATGTCCTGACGTGATCACATTGCGGGTTTCTCAACACCCTTCAATACTGCTGGTGGTTAAGTGATTCTACAAATGATGGAAGGACAGGGTGGTAGCCTTTGGAATGTGGATGCCATTCTTAGGAGCAGGCTTGAGTCTTGGATAACAGAGTAATTCAGGTGAATACTTTGTGTGGCCTTATATCTCTGATGTCTTTCCTTAGCAATATGACAGTTGACGCCTTTGTCTATGTCTGTAACGCAGCAGCAGCCTGTGGGTCTAATGCAGTCAGCCGAGTCGCCTGCCCGTTCATGATCTGGTGTGTATGTGATATGTGTATGGTTCACAGTGTTAGCATCTATGGAGTAGCCATCACCACCACTGGCATGCCCTTCCCACAGGGTATGCAAGGTGGTGATGTGGTCCTCAAGTCTGGAATAGCTAACCCCCCATGCTGTAGAAAACTCTCCCTTCTCTGTATCCTGGATCAGAAGGCAGGTTCTGGGTCTGCTGCGGGAGATAATTCCAGCAGTGGTTCCTTTTCTGCTGGCTTGTATTGCTTCTCCCACCACTGCCATAACTTTGATCCCAAAATGTGTAGGTGTCCTATTTTCCACAGTCCATATGTTCCTGATGGCCAACATGCACACTGTTTGCTTAGAGTTGTTACTCTGATTCAACAGGCATGGCTTCCCTTAAAGAATCTTGGGAACTGTAGTTTGCTCAGGGTGCTAACCTCACAGACCCATATTTCCCAGCAGCCTTTAACCATCTACAACTCCCAAAATTCTTTGTGGCTGCTAAAGTGGTATAAGAATGCTTTAGATGTATGCTGTGGGTGCTGTCATTGAGCCATGTCTGTCTGCAGGAAGCACAAACAAAAATAATTCTATGACATCCACAGCTGGAGATAGGTTTCGTCTCAGAATATCAAATGTTGTTCTGTGTTGCAGTTATCTACAGTTCGCTCTAAGGAACATAATGACAACTTTGCACGTATTCGATGGCACCAAACAGCAGACTATGGCTTTGTCCCTAATAAGAAAATGCTCAATACTTTCATGGCTGTGACTATAGATCTTGGTGATGAAAATTCCCCCTATGGAAGGTAAAGATAGCCCACTTTCTTTCTTCGTCCACACCCTCTCAAACCATCCATAAAGATTTTCAGGTAGCCAAATCTCTTCTATAACAGAAGGCATCTGGAGATGGAAACCTTTGCCTCTTATTGGCCAGGAGTCTACACCAATGCTCTTCAGGCAGGTGGAGGGAGGAGACAGGTAGCCTGGGAGGCAGAGGCATAATGCAGAGGGGGAGAGAGAGGGAACAGTGGAAGGAGAAACAGGTACAGCTGCTGCCATACATGAGAACAGCTGCTGCCCCAGCTGGGTCTGGTCCAGCTGCTGGCAGAATGCAGCAACTAGTCTGGTGACTGGGAGTGGCTGCCGGGACCATATAACACTTGTCCTAAAGGATTTTCATTGGCTCCCAGTGTGTTTCTGAGCACAATTCAAAGTGTTGGTGCTGACCTTTAAAACCCCAAACGGCCTCAGCCAAGTATACCTGAAGAAGCATCTCCATCCCCATCGTTCAGCCTGGACACTGAGGTCTAGCTCCAAGGGTCTTCTGCTGGTTTCCTCCCTGCGAGAAGCAAGGTTACAGGGAACCAGGCAGAGGGCCTTCTTGGTAGTGGCACCCTCCCTGTGGAACACCCTCCCTTCAGGTGTCAAGGAAATAAACAACTATCTGACTTTTAGAAGACATCTGAAGGCAGCCCTGTATCGGGAAGTTTTTAATGTATTCTTCCATGTACTGCATAACTTGCTATCTCTTCGAGATTTTTAGGGGGAGAATGGAATGACAAAAAGCATGGAGAGAGGGGCAGAGCCAAGGATCGAGACTGTATAGAGATGGGGGTGAGGAAAAAGAAGACTAGGGACAGTGGCAGTAGGTGGACAATTAAAAGCTAGGGGGGGGGCGTTCCTCAATCTGTTGCCCTCCTTTCTCAGACAACTGTTATGAACCTTAACTAACACAATTGTTCTCAGCTAGCATAACGTTTCTCTACATCCATGAGAGCTAAATGGGATTTTTATGAGAACCCCAGTAGTAATCCCCTCCTTTCTTCCCTCCCCCTGCTACTTTCCCTTGATTTGCAGCATCCATCCTCGAGATAAGCAGACAGTGGCCTCTCGATTGCTCCGTGGTGCCTTGGCATTAGCGTACGGTGATAAAAGCATCGCTTTCCAGGGCCCATACCCTGAGAGAGTGGAGGTGGATGTAGCCCGCAAAAGTATCAATGTTTCCTATAAAGGAGATATCCTGCTTCGCCGCTTGACCAATAACACGTTTGAGGTAAGAACCGCAGGGGAAAGGGGTACTCTTTCTGCCATGTACCATGTGGGAAAAACACAGAGTTGTGCTGCCCATTAGACAAGCCATTCATTCGTCCAGTTTACTCATTCCTGAATCCAGCAACGCCAGCCTGGTTTGTGTCCCATAAGAAAGAACAGACTGAATTGATGTGGACCTGCTATATTTCTATCCTTTATGTTTTTACCAATTCAGATAGCAATATTAGATGCCAGGATTATATTATTCCCCTTAACTGGGCTTGTAGCAACTTCAGGAATGGAGGAATAGGGTGGGTAAAAACCAATGGTTTTAAAAATAATAATAATAATAAAATTGATTTTTATTTAAATCAGGTTTTTTAAAAATAAAATGCTTCTGGAGGAAAACTCTTTCTAAAGATAGTTCTTTATTTAAGTTACATTATTGTCCAAAGGCTATTCATCAGGAAATAAGGATTTGTTTTAAGTTTTTCCTGTGTGCTAAAACTCAGTCTAAGTTTTCTTTTTAAAAATTGTTTAACCACATCAATTAACAAACATGAGTACATCTGCTATAATGTTATTGTTTTAGTTAAATAAATTGTTATTAAGGAAATCATTATTTTTCTCCTTCCAATAAAGCTCAGCAGAAAAGTTGTCCAAATATAAGCAGTCAACTTATTAAACCTCACAATAATTTCATAATTATCTGTCTATGTATTTCTAATAGTATAACCAAATCTGTAATTTTTGATGCAACTGTAAAAATTACTCTGAAAATTGATTATTCCAAAAATGAAACCTTCATCTGGTTGTAAATATTAAGATTATACCAGCAAGAATGAGTCTTTCTGAAGAAAAAAAGAAAGATTTAAATCAAGTCTTACTGTCTAGTGATTTAAATCAAATCCACCCTGGGATTAGATGAGGAAGACAACATAGTGGGGAAAGGGTTACATGCCCTCTTGCCTAGCACTGCTGCTCCTATCTAATTTCCATTCCCCATTGACTGCTGTGTGGTGGGGGGCAGATCAAAACATCAGCATGCCTGATCATGGCTCCACTGAATAATGTGTACTTTGGCCCAGAGTCTGGTGCCAAGTGCATCTTCCACAAGCTGAAAAGGAGCTACATGTGTGGAATGACTCTACCATTCTAGGGCTTTAGGTCCTGGGGCTTCATCTGAAGCAAATTTGGGTAAGTCCTCTATCTCTCTCTTTGGCAGGTGTGCTGCTCTGCAGAGTCATTGTGCCATTGGAGCCCAGTATCCATTGCTACCAGCGCTTCCCACACAGTGATTCTCCACAACCCAGAGTGCCCAAATAGCACCGTCGGCCTCCGCTACGCGTGGAATGAGTGGCCATGCGACTACAAGCTATGTCCTATTTACAACACAGATGGATTGCCTGCCCCTCCGTTCATCACATTTTCGCAGAAGAACTCTGGTTGGACTATATCGTGAGCAGAAAGATGGGTGGACAGTCTTATATTTTGGCCTCACAGGCTGCCCTATGAAGTTCTGAAAAATTGTAGTGGCAGATTATGTTTCTCAATGTAGTAAACCTCTCTGGCAGAGGGAGAGAAAAACCTTAAAATTGGGGGTTGTGGTTGCTTACGCCTCAGAAAAGATTATAGAAGTTGCTGCTGGGGAACTTACATTGCACTTAGCACCTGCATGAACCTTTAATGGTCCCTTCTTCACTGCCTGCTCTGAAGTTTTGCAGAAACCGCATCATCTTAGTGAAACAAGGCAAACCTGCTCAAAATTCTCTCTGTGCAGCTCTCCAAAGGAAAAGGCCTAATTTGGACCACGGCTTTGGAGTAAAACAGGTGTAGTGCAACATAATACATTTGTTTGCTGCTTCTAGAACATAGCTGAGTTGGCTCTCATGGGGACTCTCTTGGGTTTCCCCTGCAGCTTTTGTTCCAGAACTACAATAAATTGTTCCACCTGGAGTAACACATACAACTCTGTTCCATGTAGGTTAAATTCTATATTGAAATTTTGTTACCAGACTTCTACTTTGAAAAAGGGAGTACAGTAAATTAAAAGGTAAAGGACACCCGGGCAGTTAAGTCCAGTCAAAGGCGACTGTGGGATTGCGGCGCTCATCTCGCTTTCAGGCCGAGGGAGCCAGCATTTGTCCACAGACAGCTTTCTGTTTATCTACTTGCACTGGCATGCTTTCAAACTGCTAGGTTGGTAGGAGCTGGGACTGAGCAATGGGAGTTCACCCCATTGCACAGATTCAAACCGCCAACCTTCTGATCGGCAAGCCCAAGAGGCTCAGTGGTTTAGACCATAGCGCCACCCACATCCCTTGCCCCCCAAAAAAGGGAGTATTAGTATTTTTCTACTTATCACTATGAAAATCTTTGGCCACAGCCAGAAGCTATGGAAGTTTTTCCAGTAGAGGATTGTGATAAACTTTATTGACTTCACCACTTAAGTGGAACTTATAGCATGTCTGCTTTAGAGAAACAGAGAGCCAACCTTTTGACTGCTGTGATCCCTGAATGCATCGTGTAAACACAAATAAAGTCTTCTGTAGAACTTCCCCCCTCTCATATGTAGATATTCATAACTCACTAAGATTTTGTTAAGTGGGCCCAACCTTTTTACAGCATGTGAGGTTAAATATTGTCTCTGGCAAATTGCAGCAGTTTAAACAGCTCTTTTCAAGCACAGCTTAAAGGAGTCAGTTCAAAAGTTGGGAATATAGCACTTCGGTTGCCTCAGTTGTGCCTTTAAAAATAAAATTTAGGAAATTAAATGCCAACAGTGTGTTGTTGTAATGTTGTACTTTTGAATTTAATAGCAAACAAAGTCAGAGAGTGCAGGAGTTAAGAGATGGCCGCATTCATTCTATTCTGAGCGTATTACACCTATGTTAAAATTAACGCTTGCCGTTTTATACAGTCACAGTTTACATTTGCAGCTTGATTGAGGTTACAAACATGTGTTTGTGCATTTCTCATTACCCTAATGGATGTGTTTAGAGGCATAAGTACTCCGATCTTGAAACAGAAGACTTAACACACGTTATACATTTGCACACACAGTTGCTAACCTATACATACCTCCATAGAAAGTAGAATGGGGCTTACTCTCAGCTAAGTGTGTATAGGATAGCAAACTTTTGTTCCCTCCATAGAAGTTAGCACCACTGAACATAGTAGGACTTCACAGTAAACACTATTATATAAATATAATTGTGATTACAACAGAACTTTCTGGTGAGCTGCAAAGAATCACACTACAAAATATACACAATTTTTAACTTTTATTTTGGAAAATATTTAAAATTGTGGTAAAACTGCTGTATGCAATCCTGAGGGTAAGCTCCACTAAACCCAGTGGGCCTTATTTCTAAGTGAATATGCACAAGATTGAGCTGCAAATTGTGAACGTGGCAGCCTTCTTGACAAAACAGACAGAAGATTTAACCTCAGCAAATTCTGACTCTGATGTGTGACAAATAACAAAATAAAGAATGAAATGGTTAGCAGTGGAGCCAAAATGCCCAAAATGCAAAAGGCACTGCCAGCTCAGAACTTATGGAAGATGTTTGATGATCTCCTTCTACCGGTCAACAATAGAAAGTGTCCTTTCATACTGCATCACGGTGTGGTACGCTGGTTTGACATCATCTGATAGGAAGTGCTTACAGAGGGTGGTGAATACAGCACAAAATATTATGGGCTGTCCCGTGAATACGCTGGATGAAATAGCGGAAGAACGTTGCTTCAGGAGAGTGAGGAAAATTCTCAGGGTTGATTCACACCCTGGCCGGCATTTTTCAGACAGGCTTTCTTCAGATTGTTAACATTCACTGAATGTTGGGCATTCATTATGAAATATATATAGAATCTTCCCCCCCACCCCCTCTTTCTTTGATCATGATTGTTTAAGTTCATTTGCCTCTTGAGTAAATCTAAAGTATAGGTCCGAGGCAATTGCAATCGGGGGGGGGGGGGAACGTCCTGGGTGTGGGTCGTTGTTTTCCAAAACGACAAGAGAAGCATGCATATGTCCTGAAAGAGATTTCAAGACTAAAAACAGTTCAGGTAGAGAAGAAAATGTCTGAGGATGTATTCTTCTCCGCAACAGACTTGGCTTCCTTGGCAACCCGATACAAACTGGCAGCTATTTATGCAGTCAGGGAGGGGAAATCTAACTGTTGATTGGCTGTAGAGCAGCCCATTTCCCACAGGAACATCCCAGAGAAACTAGTAACAAGAATGTCCTGACATTTTGTGTTCTCCCAGGTGCAAAACTTCACTTGGCCTCTTATATGGCGATCACATGGTGCTGCAAAAGCAACCAAGTCATGCCATCATATGCAGTGCCGGATTTACATATAAGCTAAACAAGCTATAGCTTAGGGCCCCACTCTCTTGGGGGGGGGGCCAAAAAGTTTTAAAAAAACTGGATGTACATTTCCAAATATACATCCAAAACAAGTAGAATGGCTTTAGATACCTGTTAGGTCCATAAATTACCATATAGCATATATTCAGCACAAAAAATAGTGACAATTTGTTGTTGACATAGGACAGCTGGACATATAAAGGGCCCCATTACCTTCACAGTCGCTTAGGACCTCATCAAACCTAAATCCGGTCCAGAGGCTATGGAGATCCTGGCACCAAGTTAATATTGACTGTTTCTCAGGATCACAATGTTATGGAGAATATGGCAGGCATTAACCAGGGCTTTGGGCTAAAACAGGTGTAAGGTAAAGGTACCCCTGACCATTAGGTCCTGTCGTGGCCAACTCTGGGGTTCCAGCGCTCATCTCGCTTTATTGGCTGAGGGAGCTGGCGTTTGTCCACAGACAGCTTCCGGGTCATGTGGCGCCAGCATGACTAAGCCACTTCTAGTGAAACCAGAGGAGCGCACAGAAATGTCGTTTACCTTCCCGCCAGAGCGGTACCTATTTATCTACTTGTACTTGATGTGCTTTCAAACTGCTAGGTGGGCAGGAGCAGGGATCGAGCAACGGGAGCTCACCCCATCGCGGGGATTCGAACCGCCGACCTTCTGATCGGCAAGCCCTAGGCTCTGTGGTTAGACCACAGCGCCACCCATGTCCCTAAAACAAGTGTAGTGCTACATAATACATTTGTTCATTGCTTCCAGAACAGAGCTGAGTTGGCACTTCAAAGGACTCTTGCAGCCTTGTTCCAGAGCTACAATAAATCGTACCTCGTAGAGTAACACATATGCCCAGGAATTTTTCTCAGCCAGAACTCACAGGAACTCACTTTTGGTTCCTCTCGGGTGCCTTTGCCATTATAACACAAGGGAGGTGTTCATAGTGAGTTCCGGCACCGTTTTCCCTAGAAAAATAGCGCTGCATTTCACTCTCATTGAAAAAGCATTAAATGTATGCTGAAATGGTGAAAATGACCGGGAGGATCAGAAACCAGGAAGATAAGAACTTTAATAAGGAATGGGGAAAATTTCATAAGTTACCTTGGAGAACACTGCAAACAACTAAAAACATTGACAGGATTGTTATAACACTTGTAACAAGAACTATGGCAAAAATCAGAGTTTTTAAGAAAAATGGAAGAAATTTTAAGACGCAGATGGAAAAGATTAACAATGGAACCCATTTAGGGGGGATGGAAGTTAAGGATTCAGTGAATCCTATTTTGTTTAAGATTATGATTGATATTTCAATGTAAATATTTGTAAAACTGAATAAATTTAAAAAGCATTAAATGTGTAGAGTGACTCTGTTCCTTTTGGGTTGTATTGCGTATTACAATACCCTAATTTGTCACCGGGCTTCAACTTCAAAAAGGGAACATTAGTATGTACATCCCTTTCTGTCACCATTGGGGGGGGGGGGGACCTGGCTGCAGCCAAAAGCTGTAGAAGTTTCTCCAGTAGCAGATCCTGAGTAACTTGACTTCACCACTGAAGTAGAACTGATTGCATGTCTGCTTTGCAGGAGCAGAGAGCCAGCCTTTTGCACGCCAAAGAACTGTGACTGTTCCTGTTGTGCTAACCAGAGCAGAAAAGAAGGAACAGCTTGCGCTTGTTGCTGGGTTCACTGGATTTGAGCAAATACACGGACTGCTGCTGAGTAAGGTGTTTGGAGCAGCAGATGCACAGCTTAAGGATAGCATGCAAGCAAATATGCTTTGGTTTATTTCCCTTCCGCTGTCTGCTCTTGAGATCAGCGTACGTCTTGTGATCGTGCGTGTGAAAAAATCTCTCGGATTTTATACTTGAAATCCCCCCCCAAAAAAAGTCCTCTTGGTTATTTACCAGGGATAGGCTGTAAGTTATGTTTTTTAAAAATAATAAAAAGTGACCTTTTCGCACCCTAAAACGACTGTCTTATAAATTATTATACTTTCCTAGATATATTTCTGGTTCTGTTTATAACAATTCATGAGATAATGGATTCTCAGCAACAGTGGTACCTCAGGTGAAGTACTTAATTCGTTCCGGAGGTCCGTTCTTAACCTGAAACTGTTCTTAACCTGAGGTACCACTTTAGCTAATGGGGCCTCCGGCTGCCGCCGCGCCGCCGGAGCACGATTTCTGTTCTCATCCTGAAGCAAAGTTCTTAACCTGAGGTACTATTAGCGGACTCTGTAACCTGAAGCATATGTTACCTGAAGCGTAGGTAACCTGAGGTACCACTGTATAGACTGGACTAGTGTTTAAGATGGAATATATGGATTACTTTGTGTCCGGGTTGATGTGATCCAGCTGGTAACATGGTTTCTACGTCAGAACCAGGTCAGACAGGAGCACACTCCCCAAATGATCAGTGTGACATTAAATTTAATGATTAGTTTGTAGAACAAACACAGCAAGGGAGACAAATGGGTGAACATTAGCATACAACATAAGAAAGCCACTATTTATTTTTTTTCATGGAAAGGCCATTGCACCTTCAGCAGGTTTGTAACAGATATTAAACAGGTGAATCACACGTGCCATGGTGGAAAAGTTCGATCTGTCTGCACCGCAGCTTAAAAGGCCCAGGATTCTGCCAGCAGCCTATAGCCACTGTGCAAGAATTGTATTCCAAATATTAAATTCTATGGACTTTGTACCCAATAAGCAAGCAAGCACTTAGGATGGTGCAGTCCTGTACCAGGAAAACATGACGCAACTTAGAATCGCGATGAAAGCACACAGCACATTGCTGTACGTAGGATGGGGGCACCGGCTGTCTTTGTGTCCTAGCACTGTTCATCAGTCCCATTTCCTCTGCTGTTGGCTGCCCTGTCTACAGTCCGCTGCCGGTTGGGCGTGTCAGTCTTCTTTAGATTCCAAGGCAGGCTTCATTTCTAGGTGCAGGAAAGAAAAGATTGTGTCAAAATGATGCTGTATCTCACGGACAATGGACAATCGACGGGTGCCATGCCTGGAGAGGAAGAGGAGGAAGGCAAGAGGCCTGGGTCACAGCACAGAGTTAGAGCCATGCTCTCGCCTGCCTCTTCTTTGCACCTGATCAGCTCAGGAGACCACAAATGAAACCAAAGCTGGGCAGGATCTTCTAAATATGGTAGTGTGCAGTACAGGAGCACCCTCTTTTTACAGTACAGTATATGTACTGTGCATGCAAGTAAATACACAAATATCCAGGAACCAGGTAGCACAGGGGTAATAATAAATAATAAATAATAAATTTTTATTTATACCCCGCCCTTCCAGGTTCAAAAACCGGGCTCAGGGCAGCTAACAACAAATTTTAAGGTTAAGGGACCCCTGACCATTAGGTCCAGTCGTGACCGACTCTGGGGTTGCGGCGCTCATCTCGCTTTATCCGGGTCATGTGGCCAGCATGACTAAGCAACTTCTGGCGAACGAGAGCAGCACATGGAAACGCCGTTTACCTTCCCGCCAGAGCAGTACCTATTTATCTACTTGCACTTTGATGTGCTTTCGAACTGCTAGGTTGGCAGGAGCAGGGACCCAACAACGGGAGCTCACCCCGTCGTGGGGATTCAAACCGCCGACTTTCTGATCGGCAAGTCCTAGGCTCTGTGGTTTAACCCACAGTGCCACCCGCATCCCTAAAAACAATTTAAAAACACTTAATTGATGCAACCCAAAACTGCGTAAAGTACAATATAAAACGTGAATAACAATAAATTCAGAATTCAAAAATCAATTTAGGCGGGAAACCAGTCAGAAGCTGCGCCTTTGTTTTCAAACATTTCGGAAGTCAATCGGACTTCTGGAATAAATTAAGTTTGGCGCTTTTGTTTTTGCTATTTATTTTGCGTATTATTATTTTTTGAGGCTTTTTCGGTTAATTTGTTTTTGTGACTGTGTGGAACCCAGTTCAGCTACCGATTGACTGATTGTGTGACTGCGGAAATGGATAAAAGCCCCCCATCCAAACAATGACTATCAGTGCAGGTAAGAAAAAATAAATAAATTTTAATTTTAATCATCTACGATACTGTCTTATTTATTTTATAGTACAGTACATTGTTAAAAAGCAGAGACATCACCTTGCCAACAAAGGTCCGTATAATTAAAGCCATGGTGTTCCCAGTAGTGATGTATAGAAGTGAGAGCTGGACCATAAAGAAGGCTGATCGCCAAAGAACTGATGCTTTTGAATTATGGTGCTGGAGAAGACTCTTAAGAGTCCCATGGACTGCAAGAAGATCAAACGTATCCATTCTTAAGGAAATCAGCCCTGAGTGCTCACTGGAAGGACAGATCCTGAAGCTGAGGCTCCAGTACTTTGGCCACCTCATGAGAAGAGAAGAGTCCCTGGAAAAGACCCTGATGTTGGGAAAGATGGAGGGCACAAGGAGAAGGGGACGACAGAGGACAAGATGGTTGGACAGTGTTCTTGAAGCTACAAACATGAGTCTGACCAAACTGTGGGAGGCAGTGGATGACAGGAGTGCCTGGCGTGCTCTGGTCAATGGGGTCACGAAGAGTCGGACACGACTAAACGACTGAACAACAACACAGTACATTGATTCTTGCTTTCATTTTATGGATCAGTGGTCAGATAGTAAAATTCATGTTAAATTGCTGTTTGAGGGGTTGTTTTTAAAAGTCTGGAATAGATTAATCCGTTTTGCATTACTTTCTGTGGGAAAGAGCTCCTTGGTTTTGGAATGCTTTGGTTTTGGAACGGATTAAGTTTGAGAACCAAGGTACCACTGCATACTTGCAGCGATCCTGTGAGGAAGGTTAAGTAGACAGAGAAACACTGGCCCCAGATCACCCAGTGAGCTTCATGGGTGGAAATCTGTACCCAGGTCTTCCTAGCCGTAGCCTGATAGTCTAAACAAGGGCTGGATCATCTTTTTCAGCTGCATTTTCTTATGGGGAACCTTTGGAAGAATTTGTGCCAGTGGTAGAGAGAAAAGCCAAACAGGGTGTCCTGAAAAGCATGTTATGGGATTCAGGGACTATCTATCCTTCCAACAAGCTAGCAAAGCACTAACTGCTCAGCTTTTCAATTGCTTAAAGAAGCCAGAACTACCTTCGCTTAGCCAAGCCTTTTCAGCCTGCACACCCTACCAGGGAGAGGCAACTAGCCTTAAAAAAATAAAATAAACCTCTGTCACAAGTCCCAGAAAAATAGCAGGAAAAGATTCTCCTCAGTTGGCATTTGCTTTGCTGCTGGCAGAATCTTGCCTTCAGCACAGCAGCAGGCAGCTATTGGCCTAAGCTTTTCGGTGACACATTTGTTCACGCTACGCTGTTCGTCAACAAGACATCTCTCTCCCACATGAGAGTGATGCTTTTTTAAAAAAAAGTCTGTATATTTAATGTATAATACAATACAGAAATACATATACTGTAATTTTTGTAAGATTACAGTAGACTAAGCCCATCACATGGATGTGCATTGTCTTGATATTTATCATTCCAAAACATAAGAAACATTTCCCCATTCATCTGTTTGGCTGATTTGTATGTGTCCTTTGAAGTTACGTTAATTTTATCATTTTTCAAATAGGCCATACCTTCTCGGTCCAATAAAATAAAGATGGTGTATTGCTCTCTTTCCAGTTTTTTGCTGTTATCACCACTGTTCCAGCTATTAGTAAATTGATAACTACTTCCAGATTGTGGTTTTTAAGAGGTCTAAAAGTTCAACATTGGGATGGATCCAGTTAATAATGAACGATTTCATATCCTCTCCTTTTCCTCCCTCTATCTTGCTGCTCACCAGTGATCTGTTCTCCTGGTGTTCCAGTGAAAGACAAAGGGTTTCCTGAGCAGGTACAAGTTTTTAATTTGTTCTTCATGTTTAACTCCCATATTCATAGCTATGTTAGCAGTTTTATCTATTGCATCTAGTAGGGTTGCCATGTGTCCTCTTTTTCCAGGGCATGTCTTCTTTTTCATAGGTATGCAAGATGAGAGTCGTCATAGCAATCCATTGTTAAAAGTAGAAGTCGCCAAATGTGCCCTCTTTTTTGCTCTTCAAAATGCTCTACTCTTTTCCTCCAGGCAGGGGTTTAAAAGCTTTATCAAACTTCTCTGCGAGCTCTGGCATAAATTGCTGAAGATGCTTCATAAACCCTAAATTGACAGTCATTCACACCTCTAACACAGACTATCAGATTTTGAAAAGCTGGTATTGTTAGATCAAGTTCATCAGTTTTGTGGAACTAATTAATCTAAATTGTGTCAATAGGATTTTGAAAAGATTAATTGTTATGGTTTTTATAAGAATTTTAAGGTCTCAAATACAGAATAAATATTCTTAAATGAACACATATCTAAATATATGAACCATGTGTCTGAAATAGTACGGGAGAGCAATCCTGAAGTGATTTTGATTCTCCCAATGACCGCAAATATTCCTCTGCAGTAAGGGAGGCAAATGAGGAAAGTCTTCCTATTGTCTTTTTTGCTTACAAATCCTGTCTTAAGGGTATATTTGTGAAGGGTATAGGGTGAACCTGTGACCTGGATTCAGGAACTAAAGTATTAACCATCACAAAAGAATGGCCGGGTTGCCCAGGTAATGCAGTCAGTGACCATTATCAGGTATCCCAGCAGGCAGGATTTCTGCTGTAGACCGCCCCCTTTTGTGATGTACGTATGGTGTTTTGGGGTGGTGGTGGTCTTGGGCTGCAGGGTGGGCAATTTCAAAAGTCTATATAAGGGCTTGCACAACATTGTTCAGGGTTCTCCTTCCTCCTGCGTGTGGTGTTCAGCAGAACAGGGTTTTTAATAATAACGGGGACTAACAGTGTGCCTTCCCTCATTCATACAGTGGTACCTCGGGTTAAGTACTTAATTCGTTCCGGAGGTCCGTTCTTAACCTGAAACTGTTCTTAACCTGAAGCACTACTTTAAATAATGGGGCCTCCCGCTGCTGCCGCGCTGCCGGAGCACGATTTCTGTTCTCATCCTGAAGCAAAGTTCTTAACCCAAGGTACTATTTCTGGGTTAGCGGAGTCTGTAACCTGAAGCGTATGTAACCCGAGGTACCACTGTATTTCTCTTTAGAGATGGGGTGGATATCAGGGGCATTGCTGCATCCAGGGATCATGCTGTTGCTCTGTGCTTTGCTGCACGTAGCCTTGAGCAGCACTCAGAAAGGAAACTGTTTTCCCCAGTTAACGAAAAGCACAGCAAGCAGTCACACTGCACTTGGTTTTTCCCTTCCTTGGCACTTGCCATGCAAAGTAAATTTCCAGAGCTTTCCACAAATGCAGGAGGGTTTGAAACACCCTGAATCCTCTCTTGTACTCAACTCCTTTTTTTAAAACAACAACAAACAGTAGTTGATTATGAAGCAGTTGGGATACACACTGTGGAGCCCCTATTGCACGATACACAAGCAAAGTCCAACAGTATACTTATGTAATTATCATGTGGCACAGAAGAACGTCTCTCCAAGGCCAAAAGGCAAGACTTAACTTGAGCTAAAGACAGTGGTTTTTTTTCTTTAAAAAAAATGTTTAGGGCTACTCTCATTTTGACTCAACAAAATCACCATTTTATAGTTCAAATCAGGAAAAATAAATACAGTAAATGGACAAAAGTACAAAGATCCATGGGATGCGGGTGGCGCTGTGGGTTAAACCTTGCCAATCAGAAGGTTGGCGGTTCGAATCCCCGCAATGGGATGAGCTCCTGTTTTTTGGTGCCAGCTCCTGCCAACCTAGCAGTTCGAAAGCACGTCAAAGTGCAAGTAGATAAATAGGTACCACTCCAGCGGGAAGGTAAACGGCGTTTCCGTGTGTTGCTCTGGTTTGCCAGAAGCGGCTTAGTCATGCTGGCCACATGACCCGGAAGCTGTCTGCGGAAAAACGCCAGCTCCCTCAGCCAATAAAGCGAATTGAGCGCTGCAACCCCAGAGTTGGTCACGACTGGACCTAATGGTCAGGGGTCCCTTTACCTTTACGTTTTTACAAAGATCCACAAAATGTTTAGGGGTATGCGTACCCCTGCGTGCCCCCCGAAAAAAAAGCACGGGCTGCAGGCAGGTCCCAGCATACGCTTTAAAATAAGAAAGCAGTCCACATTGTTTGCCAATGTTTAAACCCACATGGTGCAACACAAATAGAGGAGTTTGGCACCTTGGGCAAATGATGCACATAGACTTGCTGATTTTGCACATAATACATTCGTGATGTGAAATTGTGCCCCCATTTTGTCAATCTCTCTTAAATTTCTAACTGAGGGACACGTGGAGCTGCAAATAAGGAGGGATGGGTGAATTTCCCTTTCTCAATATTCCAGTCTTAAAGTCAGTGCTGCACATTTCCATATCAGTTTTTTCAAAGTCCTCACTGAAATTCATCGGTGAATCTCTCCTAATAGTTTGTATGCAGTTTTGCGTGAAGTTAACTTTGTGTAGCATTTAATGGTGCTCGGAGCTAAGTCACACTTTAAAAAATGTTATGTGAACCGAAACAGAACCATCTTTTGTAATTTGCGTTTCTCTAAATTTTGCATTTCTCCAGTCCAGTAATGTGTACAAAAATGTACATACAAGGGTAAATTGCACAGATACTAGTGAACATAACATTAAAATATGCAATATCTTCTGGAGAATTGCATATGGCAAAATGTCTATATTTGAATAAACCTGCTGATGAATTTTCATGACTACTTTGTTCAAAAATTGCAAACAGATGTGGATATGTGGAGAACTGAATTTAAAAATGGAAAGATGAGAAACTGAAATGGACAGATTTGTCCATCTCTAATAAATCTATCTGGGCGTTCCTTTCTTTCTAAATTGCAAGCAAAAGCTGCTCTGTTTACCCTGACTTTTGATGGTTAGCCGAAATGTTTTGTTTACTTGGTGCCTGTTTTGGTTGGCAGATAAGAGAGTTTCAGCTGTCCAATTTGTGGCATCTTGTTTTATGAGAAACTTGCTGCTGCACAGATGCCATGTGTATCTTTTGGTCTTAGTGATTTCTTCTTAGCTGCCCCATTCAGGGGAGAAAGTATGCAAATATTTTCATAAAGTAATGACGAAATAAAGCAGTGTGCTAAATTAGACTTCCTTCATAGTAAACGAAGAATGCTAGCAGACAGGGCTTTATATCACAAAAGGGTCGTTCAGATCCATTTTTTCTGCATGCAAAATTAATTTCCTAGTTCCCATGCATTCTGTTTTGTTCAGGCTATAGCTATGGCTATTATTCGACCGCTTGTCATCAACTCCAGTCTGGGCCAGCCCACCTATTGGGCAAGGTGAGTAAACTTGAGCGGGAAAATCCACAGGGGCAGCAGAGAGCTAACAGACTCTCTCTCACTGGAGACTGTCCAGCCTATTAGTCCAAGGACATGTAGAGCTAATAATAATAATAATAATAATAATAATAATAATAATAATAATAATTTATACTCCGCCCTTCCTGGTTCAAAAACCGGGCTCAGGGCGACTAACAACAAATTTAAAACACTTTAAAACACTTAATTATAAAAGCAGCATAAAATACAGTATAAAAACATGAATAACAATAAAAATCAATTAGATAATCCCCAGGGCTAGCTGGCTGAATTGATCCTACTTGGGCCAGCGAGGAGGCCAGGGGAGAATTAGCTGTGGGGCTAAGGTGGCTACACAAAAAGCACAATGGTTGCAAGATCAGCTTGCAAGATGCGAAAGTGACCAGGGGGAGAAGTTGGTGGAAACCTTAATTGGGAACACCTTCATTCCCAGAATGGCTGCTTTGTTCTTTTGCTGTGATCATTAAAGACTCTTTCAATGGTAAGGGACTCTTTTCGATTTGTCCTGCTTATCTACGGCCAAAGGAGGGGAGGAAGCCGAGTCCCCGAAGCCTGACAAGACATGAACAATTCTGAGTTGTGCTGTGGTCTTTTCCCACAAAAGTTAGAAAGCTTGGCTTTCTGCTAGTATCACTTACCAATAATTTCACTGTTGTGATGAGGCGAGTTTCCATTGGCACAGAGATTGTGCTTAGGCTTCAACATCTCCAGACCAGCCAAGAGGGTCATAAAATCCACCACCGTGTCAATGTCTTCCTTATCCGCCCTGACATCCCTCAGAGTGCACAGCACACTCAGCCTGCTGAAGGACTTGACCTCCGAGATGTTGGCGCGCAGGAACAGCAAAATGATGTTCAGGTCGTTCAGAGGGCAGGTCAGCATCTTCCTGCTGAGGAGGTCAAAAGCTGGCAGCATCTCGTAGATGGATAGGAGCCGCTTGTCCCATTGGCACAACTGAAGCAGGTGGTAGATGATGACGGGCCCCAGAAGGACGTACACGCACCCGATGCAGATGCTGGTCACCTGGAAGACGGTGAAGAAGACGAGCTTGCAGGGGACCGAACCTGGGATGTGAAGCTCATCTTTTAGCAGGCCCACCTTGATGGTGCAGCTGAACTCATCTTGGAAAAAGACGGCCACGTGGAAGTAGGCTAAGTAGAAGCAGGTGGCAGCAAGGAGGAAGAGGAGGAGGAGGTTCCGTAGCACGTAGACCCCAACGAGGTAGTAGGAGCGCTGCTTGCAGGTGAGGTACCTCTCCAGTAATGGGAATTCAAAATAGCGTTCCCTGCGAGCCCTTGGTGAGAGAGAAACAAGGACTGTTTACCGTTATAACTGGAAAAGAGCTTGGATCTATAGATCTGGTCAATCGGTGGGGCTCTGCCTTATGGGGGAGAGAACATGATCGAGGAGAGGCTGCAATGGTCAGACAGGCAATTTTAGGCTCTGGGGTATGGACTTTAATGGTTTTACCAGGCGGGAGGTGGTGGAATTCTTTAAATCAGTGGTTCCCAAAAGTTTTCCCCCACAGACCACTTGAAAATTGCTGAGGGTCTTTGCGGACTACTCAGTGTGTGTGCCCCCCACCCCCAGAAGTTTGGAAGTGTTTGGATTTGATATCCCGCTTTATCACTACTCGAAGGAGTCTCAAAGCGGCTAACATTCTCCTGAGCCCGGCTTCGGCTGGGGAGGGCGGGATATAAATAAAATTCATTATTATTATTATTATTATTATTATTATTATTATTATTATTATTATTTAGAATTCCACCACAGGGGGTCCACATACGCCATTTGAACGACAATGCCCATCAACTCTGGGGCCCCTGGCACCCGCAAATATTTTATGGGGGGGCTGAAGAGTTCTTGGCCCCTGGGAGTTGGCCCCTGCACTCGGCTACATCCCTTCTTCTCAGTCATCTGTTTGAGCTTACTTGTCATATTCCTCCCATAGCTCTTCTGGGTCGGTCCCAGACTGTTGTAGTTTCACCATGTGCTGCACTAAGCGGATGGAACGGTTGTAGGATTTGTCCAGCTCATCGATGATGAAGAGCAGGTCGCAGTTCAGCGACGAGGCAGCTGCATATCTCCAGAGCAGAGAAGGCAGGTACATGGCGACTGCAATCACCAGCAAGGAATATGGGAAGACCTAGGTGGAGAGACAAAAGCACAGTAACAACTGCTGAGGAATCGGGGTCGTAGGAGAAAGAAATACTAGGTATTGGCCCAACTTATTTTTCTAGAATACTCTTCTCCAGGAGTTCTTTACATCTTGAAAAGGGAAAAAGAAGAAGCTTGAAATATACTGGTACTCGGAGTTGAGAGTGGATTTCATGCTCTTTATTCAGCTCATAGTGGTGAGGAGGAATGGAAGTTCCCCCAGAATGTCTGCTTTATATACATTATTTACACAATGGGCCCCACGTGATTGGCTAATTCCGGGATTCACCTGTAGGCCAATCAGGTTGCGGATTCACTTCCACCTGGAGCTGGATTGGGTGGCTCCTGTGGACCAATCAGACTGCTGCATTCTGGATCCTATTGTTCTAGGACCAGTCAGACTGCTGCCTTTTGGATCCTATTCAACTCAGTACATAACAAAGCTCATTGCATAGAGAAAGGGGCAGGGCCCAAGAAAACAAGAACATACATTTTAAAGAAGATTGGAAAACGTTTATTGAATATATGGGGGGAAATTATGTGCACTTGAAAACACTGGCAGCATTAAGATAAATTAAAGAGTGTAAATACGTTTTGATGGATGTAATAATGGAATACTGAACAGTTTAGTTTTTGTAAAATATGCAGGGATTTATGAGATGTAAAATGAACCATGGAAAAGAGAAGAAGGGAAGTCATGGATATTTTAAGGATGTTTAAATGAGTATTCTAAATTGTAAAACGGAAAATTTAATAAAAATTATATATATTTATATAAAAGAGAAAAGGGTAGGGCCATACTGCTGGCCCCCACCACAGTCTTGTATTGACAGTCTTGCCTTGCCATCACCCATGTGATGAGTGCACACCTTTCGCAAGGAACCCGTACGTGTGAGCAGCAAAGATGCTTCCTCTTCAGACATCTGCACTTAGTGTAAATAATGGAACCTTACAAAAAATATACTGAGAGTGTGCTAGAACCACGTTATTCAACCTTGGGTCCCCAGATGTTGGCCAATGTTGTGCCCTCCAGATTTTGCGCAACAGCTCCCATCATCCCTCTCTATATAAGATTCCTGGTAAGATCCCTTCTTGTCCCTCTTAAAAAGAATAGACACAGCAATCTTATTAAAGTGAATATAAAAGTAGTTTACTCACATTCATTCAGTTCACAGTTTGATCCCTGAAGGCAGACTTAGGTTACAAAAGTACATTTGTATGTGGAACTATCCCACAAGGGAGTTAGTTCCTAAGTGACTGCATAGAGAAAAACAAAAATGGAGAAGAGAGGAGCAAAAGAAGATGGTGTGTGCCTCTTCCTTGCTCTTGTTACCCAGGCAGACTAGGCCAGATTAGACCAGGCTCACATCTAGTCACATGCAGAGGAATTTTGTCTCAGCTCAGGAATGTTGTACTTGACTGCAATGTGTTTTACATCCCACAAATAGGACCCACATAGGGGAGTATGGGAGTCCAGAAGATTCCTTGGAATCTTGTTTTTATTATTTATGTTTGATATATCACTGTGAAATTTTAAGTTGAACAAACAAATAATTCCTTTGAATCACTAAGGTGTCCCACACTGATACCTTGAGGACCCAGAGAGATCTGGATTGAGAGTCTCCCACAGTATCGTAGTCATGGTGAAGCAAGGAGTCCCAGCACACAGCGTCAACGTAGGCCGATTGCTTCCCTGTGAAGTTGGCGGGAGAGAAGCAACTGATCTGGGAGCCTGGAGGGGAGAGCAAGGCAGAAACAGAACCATTAGCCTCCAGGGCCATTTCTGCTGGTACTTCATCCTGCTGTTGCATCAAACTGCAGGAAACTGAACGCTGCTTCATCCCAGCAGTAGCAACCTTGTGACTCAAGCAAGCAGATGGTCTTCCTGGTCAATGAGGAGAATGAGTCCGCTTCTCCCAGCAAATACTCCTGATCAAACTGCTCCCCATCACATAACCCCAACTGTGTTTTTTTCCTTAAAAAATGTTTAGGGTTACTCTCATTTTGACTCAAGGAAACCACCATTTTATAGTTCAATTCGGGGGAAAATAAATACAGTGTTACCTCGGGTTAACTACTTAATTCGTTCTGGAGGTCCGTACTTAACCTGAAACTGTTCTTAACCTGAAGCACCAGTTTAGCTAATGGGGCCTCCTGCTGCTGCTGCGCCGCTGGGGCAAAATTTCTGTTCTCATCCTGAAGCAAAATTCTTAACCTGAAGCAATATTTCTGGGTTAGCGGAGTCTGTAACCTGAAGCGTATGTAACCCAAGGTACCACTGTACAGTAAATGGACAAAAGTACTGTGGACTCTTGGGTTGCGAATGTGATCTGTGCGGGATGCACGTTCGCAACACGCAGTGCCTGCAACCTGCAGTGGTGCGTCTGCACATGCGTGGGTTGCGATTCGGCACTTCTGCACATGCGCAAAGTGCAATCTAGCACTTCTGCGCATGCACAACTGCCAAAACCCGGAAGTTACTCGTTCCGGTACTTCCGGGTTTTGGCAGTCCGTAACCCAAAAAAACACAACCAGAAGCTTCTGTAACCTGAGGTATGACTGTACTGTACAAAGATTCACAAAATGTTTAGGGGTATGCGTACCCCTGCGTAACCCCCAGAAAAAAAAGCACTGGCTGCGTTACATTACCACAATCAGCCTTTGGTGACGGCCAGCCCATGGAGCGACAGTTCACATGCCGAAGTTCAACACTTTGAGATTTTCTCCAGGCCATTTCGAAGGGCGAAAAGTGGGGGGCACAGTGGGGCATAAAGAGAGAGTTTGCTTGATTTAGGGAAGCAGGGGCAGCAACCTCAGACAAAACGGGAATGTGCCACCCGCACCCAACCCTTCTGCCGCCACTGTAATGGCCTGCTCTCGCCACACTTGGCAAGAGGGGGAGTGATCTGCAAGGCCTTCTTGCTCATCTCCGCTACAGGGGCCCTGCAGATGTGCTTTTACAGCAGAGTAAGGAGAGAAATGGGGATGCGGGTGGTGCTGTGGGTTAAACCACAGAGCCTAGGACTTGCCGATCAGAAGGTTGGCGGTTCGAATCCTCGCGACGGGGTGAGCTCCCGTTGCTCGGTCCCTGCTCCTGCCAACCTAGCAGTTCGAAAGCACGTCAAAGTGCAAGTAGATAAGTAGGTACCACTCCGGCGGGAAGGTAAACGGTGTTTTTGTGCGCTGCTCTGGTTTGCCAGAAGCGGCTTAGTCATGCTGGCCACATGACCCGGAAGCTGTACGCCGGCTCCCTTGGCCAGTAAAGCGAGATGAGCACCGCAACCCCAGAGTCGGCCATGACTGGACCTAATGGTCAGGGGTCCCTTTACCTTTACCTTAAGGAGAGGAATTAAGGTTGCTAGTACTTCCGCGTGCTAAACGAGAACCTACCAAATCTGCAGTTCCCATACCAATACATGAACTGAGACAAAGCACTGTCACACAATTTGCATTTCTAATTTTGAGATGCAATTTCTCCAGCCACAGAATGTGTTCAAAATTGTGTGTACTAATGAAAAGTGCATGTGAAAATATATTGATTGATTGATTGATTGAATTTATATAGCCCCCTATACCCGGAGGTTTCAGAGCGGTTCACAAAAAAGATCACAAATATATAAAGTCAAAATAAGAACAATAACCCCAAAAGAGCCACATTTTAAAAGGGTATAGGATACAGTGAAAATAACACAAAAGTGTGTTCTATTGGGGGAAATTCTGAGTAAACATGTATGCCATTGCATCATTAATCTTTCTGAACTCTGGGCTCCCCTTCTGAATGTATGCTACCTTTTTCACATACAAAGTGTTGCTGCAACAAATCGTCAACCATCTGTTCCCCATGCAACAGGGCATTACAAGGTATTACTCAGCCTAAACAATGGGAAATTGCTTTGGAATCTATACAGAACGTCTCATTGGACCTGAAATTGATACTGAATCAGCAAAAATCAATATTTTGAGTATAATGGATTCTACAACAGCTGTATAGGAAGGCAGTGTCTAACACATATAGATGTTGGGGGTGTAAGCTGAGAGTTCCCTTTGAGGCATATAATGTAGGCTTTTCCAGTGATATATTCCTTTTGGGATTGAAGCAGTTACTCACATCCATTTTGTATTGGCAAAATCCTTTATATTTGCAGATGCCCGTGTCCCTTTAAATGATACCTCTGTGGTACAGGGCTTAACAGATGGAAAACAAAAGGGGATTTTGCGAGCCCTTGTGGTGGCTAAGACACTTATACTTCCAGCCTGGAATAGTACATATCCATTGTCTCTTACATAGTGGTCCGAGAACCTTACTACACTGGCAACATTTGAACATATTTCATATATAGGAATAAATTCCGTGTGGATTCCTATTTGAATACCTGGAGCTTTTACATTAACTTGCATGCTTCATTTAAGATTTGTGTTCTGGTGATCACTGCATTCACAATGTGAAATGATGGTCTATTATTAGTAGTATTATTTGCTTATTGTTTCTCTTATTCCTTCATCTCTTTTTCTTCTTTAATTTCTTTTTTTTAAAAAAAAAATCTTGTTAAATTCGGGGGGGGGGGAGGTTTTAAATTGGAATTGGACCAGAGTCCTAAGGAAGAGAGATGTATAAATATTTATATAAACATTTTCTTAATTATCATCTGGTGGAGCCAAAATTTATTGGCTGAAGTTTCCAAAATTTGAATGTAAAATTTCAGAATAAAGTTCGTAGTTCAGTTACGAATTTTTATTTTAAAATTTGAGTGCTTTAGGCTTCTTGACATAACTTTGGCAAGTGCTGAATACAGAAGCACACAAGACATGAATAACTAAATAGTATTGCACCCCAATTAACAAATACTAAAATCAAGTATCCCAGTGCATATATAGTACATAAACAATTTAGTGAATTATCTAGCAAACATCTGAGTGCAGAAAGAACATCTAAAGGTGTTCAACTTTTTGCAGAAAAGTTTTTGGAACAAATGAATTTCAGCTAGAGAATAGAGCAGGATAGATTATGAATATTCATAATCTATGGTTCAAAGGCATTTTGGACTAGAGACAGACTAGGGTGCATTTAGTTCCCGTTGTAATCAATGCCACTAAATTTTTCACATTGATTTTAATTCATAGGCCCAAAGTGCAACTAACGCGGAGTGGATACAGCCCAGTGAGAATATATTTTAAGTCGGTTTAACTAGAACCATGGAACAAATAGTAGTAATAGTAAAGAAAGCAAGTTAACGTACCAGACGAAAATTCCCGCGCAAACGACAGGGACACGAGCAGCAGGGGCAGCCCCACAGTGACAAACTTCACAATGCGGTCACACGATAGCTCCAAGCGAAGCCCCTTTGCCCTGGAGCCATTCGGATCCGGAAGCAAAGCATCCGAGAGCATATACTCGCCCGCGGTGTGTGCGATCGACATGGTACTTTTTGGATGGGCCAAGCACAGGCAAGAGGAGAAGAGGCAGCTGCTGCGATCGCACTGCTCACAAACGGCATCTAAAAGCTTGATGTTTGCGCTTGCCAAACTGAAAGCTTTATTTGCAGAGAATTAAGCACCGGACAGCTGCAAATGACAGCCTTGGATGTTTGCGAAAGGGAAGGGTAATTACAAGGCAACCCGGTTTCTTACAAAGCAGTGACTGCCGTCGGCCCCAGAAATAGCGCAAGCAGCACTGGAGAGTTGCGATTGCCGGGGACACCATGTACCTCCGTCTACCACAGGCATAGCAAGGCAAGGCTGGGTCCTTGTGGTTTTACATCCCTCTCTCATAAGCAGATGTTATTTCCAGCAAGCCTCTGCAGGAATGTGGGGCTGTGGATTTGGTTTTACATCCAGGAACACGCAGGGGTGGGCTTTCGGGGTTAGCTGACTAGTGGGAATCGTGGACCATGCTTGCATTTTCAGAGCACAGCGGTGGCTTAATCACACGCAGAACACCTGCATTCAGGGAGTATTTTTAGCCCTGTGGGGTACGCACTGGGATTGGCAAAGCCCTTTCCATACTTGATATTAAAAGACACACTTTGTGGGTTTTGCAAACCCTATAGCTTCAGGTCTTCAGTAGTAAATTGAAAGCAGGTGATCTGGAGAATTGATCCTTGGGTGGAGAACATCAGGGGACCAAATGCAGCCTGCCATCCTCTAACTGACCTGTGGGACTCTACCGCAAACACTCTTCTCAGACCTCCCTCTGCTTTGCAGGCTCGACTGTTATTGCCTGGCTGGAATGAGCCTTTTGATGGCTGGATGGGAGGGTTTATAGGGGGGATGTTTGAATATGAAGAAATGAGCCTACTGTGCAGGAACAAAATTCATATTTGTCCTACCCACCACTTGCACATATGGATGCTGGGTGATTGTTCAGAAGGCTCTCAGGCTGAAAAGGGTTCCCCATCCCTGGGACAGCAGGATAAAATTATATTTTTGATTGATTGAAATATTAGAAAGCAGCTCAGTTTCAAACCTTTGCTCTAGCCTGAGGCAGCACTAAGCACTACTATTTAACATTTGTCATTATCATCCTAGCTACCACCCTGTAAGGTGCAGAATTATTATTCCATCCTGTTGCAAATGGGGAGACTGAAGCTGAGAAAAGGTGGCTTGTCTGTGTCCATGGCAGAGGGAACAACTGGGAACTTCCAGATTTCTAGCTTAGTCTCTTAACTGTTCTACCAACAACTACCAAAGCTAAAGCAATGTCCCAACCTACCCAAATGTCTCTCTTTACCAGAAGTCAATGGGCCAGGTGGCTCTAATGCAGTATTTCAGCACTTGCAATACCCAGTCAAAACATTTGGAGAGCTCAGCCACTGCCAGCTACATCCAAGCTACACAGGCAGATTCATAAGACTAAGCCATTTGCATAGCTGGTTTCTTGCAATGAGTAGAGAGGCATCCATTCCTTCTGAAATATCTGCTACCTCCCAGGACATTTCCCACAAACTATGCCGCCAAACTGGGAACCAGTATTTTTGTTCTGGTTAAGACATTGGTTTTCAATCCGATATTTGCAGCATGTTTCAGTGTCCTACCAAATCTTCCCCTCTTGCAAAACTCTCAAGTGTGGAATACCTTTTCCCTAACCTACGCTCTCACCCCTGGTAATCTTTGCCCTGGACATTTACATTGTAGGGTATGGGATGAAGCATGTCCTTGATTTAATTAGGACACTGAATTACATGCCTAATATCAGCGCCAGCAGAGATTTTCATAGGAAGCCACAACTGCTGATATTCAAATACTACTACTAAAAGCACATCTCTTAGAACACTGTTCATCAACTGATGGGTCACAACAGGAACACTACCATTCTGTAAATTGATGTTAAAAGATTAAGAGATGAATTAAAGTTTGGGTTAAAAGTGAGTCTTGGGTCTGAAAAGGTTGAAGATATTTTTCAGAAGACCAAATCTTATTGACAGACTTCTAAGAACCCTTCAAGGTGCCTTGTAGTTAAGAGTTGCATTTTCTGTCCATCCATTAGAACATGTTGCTATTGTTCAACATATCGTTGAAAACACTCTTAGGGTTTTTTTTTCCCTTTTCAGAATTACAGCTAACATTTCATTGATGAATTCTGCAGTTCTGTGGATCAATTCTGTGTTACTACAGAATATAGCAGTCATCAATATGCCACCTTGCCCCTCACACCTAAAACAAGAAAGCCATGCAAAATTATGCAAGTGGCTGGGGTGCTAAATGCTTGAATCTGGTAGCTGCCACTAGAAAGGCATCTTTTGTCTTCGTATTTACAGCCTTAAATGCCACAATTTCTTATTATGTTTGCAACTGTATTGTAGCCACAAGTATCCTATATTTTGTGGTAAACAAAGCACAAGCATGCAAATGTGAACTCAGAAAAAACATCTGGAACAGTTAGGGCTTTGGGGAATTTTTTTTATTGAATTAAGCAGCAGTTTAGGAGGAAATGCAAGAATCAAAGAGGCTAGACATGGTGCAGCAGCCAGTCTCCATATTACACTAGGGCAGAGGTTGGACATTTGTGCCCCCCCCCACAGCTCTTATTGGTTCCATATAGTATAGTCATAGATGATGCGACCTGTCATCCAGCAAACATCTAGAGGCCCACAGGTTACCCACAAACCAGAGGCTGTAGGTTTGGACACTCAAGTCTGGACACAACACTAAACCAAAATATAGCTTAGCTCCAATAGCACACAGCAGCAGCAGGAGCACTTCTGTCCCAGAACCCACTCATTTGTATTAAGCCAGGGTCTGGCTGAGTGTTACTTGTGAAGCGGGCCTAAGAGAAAGTCTAGCTGTCTAAAGCCAGCAGAGGCATGATTTGAACCCAAGGGCTTCTCAGTGTGTAGCTGACTTCCATACTATTACATCAGAACAAACTCCAGACTGAGTCTTTCTTCAAAAAATCCCTGTTAAAATTACATCATGCCCATTCTGTCAATTTCTTCAAGCAAGAACGGGTTTCAGATGCCTCGACTGCTGTCTCCATCGCCATGTCCGTCAAGAGGACTACTGCATCTTCAAAAACCCCTGTCTGAAACCTACTGGGACCCCCGTCTTCACTTCCCATGGCAGCTGAATACAGAGCCTCAGCACTTGCCACAAAGATTCTCTGGACCGATGTAGGCTTCTAGGAGAAGCAAATCTTGCAGTTCCATGGTTGGCCACTTTAGAGTCCAAAATCTCTGCACTTAGTGGAATTCCAGGAACTAGGAGGTCAAGGAAATCAAGTTTCTCCAATAAAGCTACACAGGCATCATTGCTTTGGTTCACTATTTCGTATTTCTGGGAACTCCAGCTTCAGTCGCTGTAAGGAGCGAATGAAGAACAGGGGTGGCTTGCAAACCAAGTGGATTTTATCTTCTTCGCTGCCATTTTTTGCAGGCAGAGTGAGTTGGCAGGCATGGAGGTGAAGTGGGAGGTGGCGAGCTTTGACTTGTTCCAAGCCCAACCTCTTCAATGCAGCCTTTGGAAGCTTCTGCACAAAAGGAAGAAAGAAATGGTTAAATGGTGAATTCCCGGGCAAGGATCTCTTAACTTTTCACTTTAGATCTCCAAGTGTTGGGAAGTGGAAATGCTCTCTTGCAAAGTGCAAATGATGTAACAAAGTTTTTTCTCAATTTTCTGAGAGATGTTGTTAGAAATCAACCTGGCAAGGGGCCAGAATAATGGGTCTTAATGCTTTCTTGGAGATTTTGAGGATCAGGAATGATAAAAAAGAAAAAGGGTGTGCTTAGCCATGATTAGTGGTTGGCCGCTGGGGAGAATTGGACAGTTACAAACAGTTGATTTGTTCACATGGATGCATGGAGTAGAATGTAATGAACATTCTGTGCATTTTGCAAGAGATTCTCTTCAAAATTTGAAAGTATGCGGCAGATACTTTTCAGATTATACAACGTATAAAAGGAAATAGTTTATGGTTGAAGTGAATTAAAAAGGAACTAAGTTTTTGCAATAACGGTCTGCTCTGTTCTAGCTATCAGTGCTACTCTGTATTTGATTTGTAATAATAACAAAATTAATATTAATAACATAAATGGTACTGCTCCCTCTCCAAACAGATCAATAAATATTCACCTTGACAGTTCTAGAAGCACTAGAGACTGCAGCATGCAGCAGGCACATGCCAAAGGATGCAGCGAATACCCAGTTGGATTAGTGCTTCACAACAACTCAAACTAAAAGCTCTTTTGGATTCAGCCATAGCAGTGCTCTACAGATTCCAGGTCAGGATGGCAGCATCTCACCCAAACTCCTACTCCATGCAGGAAATCTAGGGCTACAGAATCTCCAAGAGTCGACTGTCAAACCTCTACATGAGGACTGCCAGCAATTACCCTTCCGGTAACTGGTTCCAGAGATGAACTGCTCTTCCTGTCAACACATTTCTCCTGATGTTCAGCCAAGATCTCCCCTCCCGTAATTTAAGGAGCCTTGTGGAATGGTCCCTCCCTGATGGTGTCCTGGCAGGTGTTCAATGTGTTTTAGTGGGTTGTTATTCTGTTGCATACCACCTGGATGACTTCTGGTTAAAGGCGGCATATAAATGATTTTTTTGAAATAACTAAATAGCTCCATCAGGCCTCCTCTCCTACAACTGTCACCTGGTTGCAGTCATTCCATCAGGCTGCCTCAGTGGGAAAGGTGGGAAGCAGGGCTCATTCCATCAGCTTTGCCGAAAGATCAGCTCCATCAGTCACTTCCTGCCCCTCATCTGTTTCTATGCCAGCTGGTCATTATAGCTACTATTTAAGAATTGTGAGATCTGGTTTTTTAAAAAAAAGAATACAAGTCTGAAGGCAGGGACTGTCTTGTTTTAATGTATTGTATGTAAGCCGCTCTGGCAACCTTTTTGGTTGGAAAGCTGGGTACATATGCTCTAAATAAATAAGTGAATAATACACTCCTTAGACCTCGCCCTGCCTTCTTGGGCAGCAGAGAGCAAGCCCTTCCAGTCTTCTGTGTGACAGCCGTTCACATAGACCAGGAGTGGACACCTGGCGGCCCATGAATTTTTATCTGCATCCAAGCGGTTCTTTCAAAATGTCTCTGATACACAGTAAAAAGTCAGCCAGGTTTATGTAGCCAGTAGCCTGAGGCTACTGGTTCCTGGTACTCTCCTACTTAAAGCATTTAGCAACAGGTGCAAAGGGAGTGGTTGTTTGGAATGGACTGGAATTTGAAGTAGATGATAACCACCTCAGGGCAGGAGATCAGTCTACCAAACTGAGACCCCACCCACCATATGTTTTGAAATGCATAAGAATGCAAGCCAGGTTCCTTTCTAGAACTTGGCTGAGGCTTGAATCCTAAGCAAACTTACTTGTGGTTTAAGGACCTTTGGCCATAATGAGCCCTACTTCCAAGTAGGGTTTGAGACTCAACCAGTCCACTATTTGTAAAAACCTAATGTTTTCAGAGCACTCTAAAGATCATACATAAACTAATTTGATACTTATGAGAAGTTAAAAAACTGATGATTGTTCACAGTAACCGTTTATCCAAAGTAAAACATTGCATGTAATTCTTACAATATTTCCACGTATTTTAAGTCATTTCTGATTTAATACAGTGGTACCTCTGGTTACAAACTTAATTTGTTCCGCAGGTCCGTTCTTAACCCGAAACCATTCTTAACCTGAGGTACCACTTTAGCTAATGGGGCCTCCTGCTGCCGCCCCAGGATGTTCTCATCCTGAAGCAAAGTTCTTAACCCGAGGTACTACTTTTGGGTTAGTGGAGTCTGTAACCCGAAGTGTTTGTAACCCAAGGTACCAGTGTAGTTAGCTTTTAACTGATTTAATCTGTTGTATGGGTCGATCTTGCTGAACAACACTTAGAGACAACTATAATTAAGCAGTATATAATTGAAATAAGTTAAACACATAGTAATACTACATAAGGTTTTTTTTAAAAAAAATGTGAACAATTTGCTGAACAGTTCTTCTCTTTCACTTTGAACTTGAAATGTCAGGGTCAGCCTACACTTGTCCAAAAAAAGGGTAGGGGAGGAAAGGGGAAAAAATAAAATTTAAGTAAACACCCATTGTTAAAAACAGTCCTGATAAGTAGGCAGGACTGTTCAAGGATCAAGGAACACCTGCCAATATCTGACCAGTGCCAATCTAATTTTCAAGTAAGCATGCATAGGTGTGCAGTGACAGCAGAGGCATAAGACGCTCCTTATTTCATCCTACTGTCTTCTTTCACTGAATAAGCTCCTTTCATCATGCTTCTCTTACCTGTGGTGCAAGCTTGTTCCAATGGGAGTATTTGTGGTCTCCAAGGATTGGACAGCCTAAGCCATAGGCCAAGTGGACTCTGATTTGGTGCTTCACTCCTACGTACAGGGGGAAGGCAAAGAGAAAAAATTAAGCACACATGTATAGAAAGCCACAACCACCAAATACACCCGTCTGCTCATTCTTAGCAATGGGCTGCCCATACTGAGTCCCATTTGCAGTTTGCTAGAAACAGCGGAGGAAGGAGGAGAAAAAGGGCAGCTCCACTCATCTACCTCTGACATGAAGCCCCCAAAGGGAATGCCGTTCCTGCACCACTATCATAGTGTGAACAAATCGCTGGTCATTAAATTAAAAGCTTATAATTCAAGTGGCACATTCATGCCTTCCTTTTCAAACAGCAGCCTGTATTTCCTACATGTACTTCAGCAGCAATGTGCTTTTCTGTTTGCACTGACTCTCAAAGAACAGCAGGGCTTCGCCCTGAAAAGCAACATGAGTCCTTTCAATAAGTAAAATTAAATATACTTCTGCATGGGTAAACACTACTGTATGCTCCACCAGAAGACTTCAAGATGACCAAACTTGCTCTGTACTCAATTGAACAGAACAAGGGGCAAATAATAATAATAATTTTAAAATGCCCAAATAAGAAAAACTGTCAGGCTTAGAGATGCTCAGGAAGGCTTTTAAGTACTCAGTGCTGATGGCACTGCTCTGCAGAAGTTCCTGAGCAGTTCCTGTGCATGTATGTGAGGCCTTACCTGTGACTGGGTGCAGTTCAAGGAGGGAACAAGAGGAGGAACTACTCAGCACTCGGTACTGGGTCACTGCCATACTGGCATCTCTGTGCTTGCGGACTTTGAACATATTCCCATCCTCAGAGGACATGCGATAGTTTGGCGCAAGTGTCATCTAAGCCAAAGAGAGATAAATAGATGTATCATGCCGTAGAGGTCCATCACTCATTATCCACCTCCCAGCACTTTGTCACTGAAGGATCAGGCAGCATCAGTGAATAGAAGGGCCTTTTACCAGTTGTAGCTGGTGCAAAGTTATGGCTGCCCCTGGACTGGGAGTGTATGACCCTAGTAGTTCAGGCACTGGTGACTTCAAGAATGGTTTACTGGCATGTGGAGCTTCCCTTGCTCTTGAGATGGAGTGCAGAATGCTGCAGCACAGTTGCTGACAGAAGTGAGGTCCTGTAAGCGTAGGACACCTCTGCTCAGAAAGCTGCACTAGTTGTGCATTTGCTATTGGCCAAATTCAAGGTATAACTATTATCATATAAAACTCTTAACAGCTTGGGAATTTGCAGGATCCCTTTACTACTCTATATAAAAAGGAAAAGGTAAAGGACCCCTGGACAGTTAAATCCAGTCAAAGGTGAGTATGGGGTTGCGGCGCTCATCTTGCTTACAAGGCCAAGGGAGCCAGTGTTTGTCCACAGGCAGCTTTCCGGGTCATGTGGCCAGCATGACTAAACCGTGATGGAAACCAGAGCGCACAGAAACACCATTTACCTTCCTTCCACAGCGGTACCTATTTATCTAGTACTTGCACTGGTATGCTTTCGAACTGCTAGACTGGCAGAAGCTGAGACAGAGCAACGGGAGCTCACCCCGTTGTGGGGATTCGAACCACCGACCTTCTGATCGGCAAGCCCAAGAGGCACAGTGGTTTAAACCACAGCGCCACCCGTGTCCCTATATGTGCCCATCTGACTGCCATGATTTGCGGAACTGACACTGGAAAGCTGTTCCAAATCCAACTCACACACTGTGTTGAATTTCCCAGGAATAAAGCTTAAATAATAAATCAGTGCCTTGGTGCTTGGGAGAACTGGAAAGCATCAGAAAGCCCTCCTAGAAATGGTGTGGCTAGAAAAGTCAAGACATTGCTGACAGGAAGCAAACTCACTTTATAGTGCAATTGGTTGCCCTCGGCTTCCTTCTCCATGATGGGAATATCCACCACTCCCTCTGCTGGCTTTGGTTCTCCAATGCAGATCGCCCTACCAAGATAACAAGTGATGAACAGTGTCATATTTCAGCTTGTTACAGCCATCATCTCTCCTTTCAAGAGGGAAAGAAAATGAATTCAGCATTTCATTAACAGGAATTGTCCCAGAGATGCAGTTCTGAAGGGGCTACTGGCTTATAAGAAGTCAAAGTTTCTTATAAAGCTGAGAGTGGGAGGGGGGAAGAGTCTATGAACCCCAGTAATGTGTCTCATACCAATATTTTTTCTCCACCTGTCGGGTTTTGAAGAGCTGCTGGATCTGGTGTGTGGTGTCCTCATCCCGGGCAAGCACCATCACTCCAGTTGTTTCTTTATCCAGCCGGTGACAGAGATGAAGGGGTTCAGCTTTCATGCCATCCAACATCTTTGCCAGTACTGGCAGCACATCAGTGATGCACATTTTTACCTTGGGGCCACCTGGAAGGAAAGCAGAAACAGCTTTGATCACATAGCCTCCAAAGAGCAATTTCTTTTCCCTTAGCAACTTCACCTGCAATTTGTAAACACACCAATATCACAGATCTAAAAGGATAATTTTCCTGAAGCCCAGATTCTCACAAGCATCTCCTAAGCAAATTGGAAAGACTGTTAGATGTCCACATAATTACGCACGCATCTGTTCAATTATAGCCAGAAGCCAAAAGCTGCTACTTGAGTACCAAGAGTGTGCATAAACAGCAACTGTATATGGGGAAATTTAGACGTGCTGTATTTGCTTTGTTCCCCTTTGTCTCTCTTCCCTAGTAGAAAAAAATAGGGGGGTTTTTGGTGGGGGGATTAACCCCACACCCTATTGCATTTCCCCAGGAAGGAGATAGTCACATACCACAGTTGCTGCCTCTGTAGTGTGTACCTTTCCAGTAGAAGTAGAAAAGACTTATGCAAGAGAAACACCTCCTGAATTATTATTTGCAAGCTGGTCTGTGTAGCACTCAGAACACAGGTGGCAATGGGAGAGGCAGCTCCTACATGTACATGCAGCACTGAGGTTTCATTGTTTATAATGTAGAAGAAATGTCTCTCTGGGAAGACGAAAGTTAATAAGACACTAGTCCGGCAATCTGGGAATCTCTTAAGCAGAGGACGATGAGAGAAAACTATCCTTTTGTCATCCCCTCACCCACAACATCTAATTCAGAAGGTTATACTGCCTCTCAGTATCGCTGAGAGTAGGGTAACTAGGATTCTGCTCCACAGAATGAATTCACATTTAACCTGTTGAAAAGCCAGTACAGACCTCAAAAACAAATAAAAGCAATGACTCTGATTAAGTCATAGAGGAGGAGATATCTGGATAGTTAGCAGGGCTCTTTGCAATGAGGAACCTGTGGTCCTCTAGATGTTTCTGGATGACAACCTCTGACCATTTGCCATGCTGACTGAGGCCGATGGGAGCTGAAGCCCAACAACATCTGAAGGGCCACAGCTCCTCCATCCTCTCTTTATAACTACCAATCCACTATAACAGTCTTTCAGTAACATCACACCACTCATTCCTCTCACCATGAACAGGGAGGCCATAAGGTTTGTTAATCACCACAATCTCTTTGTTCTGGTAGAGGATTCCATTTTTTAGTGCCTTGGCCAACACATTAGGATGAACCCGCTGCAACTGCTTCGTAAGCTGAGCAAGTTCTTGCACCCGCCGTGATACTCTGTCTTTAGGAACCTTTGAAGGACCAGGGAAGAAAGAACAAAGTAGTTCATCAATCCTTTATTGTATCATTCCTGGTGTCACAAAATAAGTATAGGCATGCATGTGCAAAAAGAAATAAATGGTTTTTAAAAAGATAAGAACGGAAACTACTGATGAAAAAATACACTAGATCTCTCTCCCTCTCTATACACAAACACACACACACACACACACACACCTTAATTGCTAAGAAAATAGCACTGCAACTGGAAATCATAAATCTCTGCCACCAACTTGCAACAAGCAAGTCAATTAAAGATGTGGAAGAAGAGGTGGAATGTTTATTTATTTTCCCTCTGGCCATTTCCCCACAACAAAAAGGTGCGGGTGGAAAAGCGTGGTGGTGGTCTTTCAGAAAAGCAGGCACTGCAGGAAAGGAAAAACAGCCTCTACTTGTGGATTCCACCACTCAAGCTAATTCAAGTGTTCTATCAGATTACAGCAGCAGGAGAGATGGGAGTTCAGACCCCTCCACTAAAACTGTTGGAAGATCAGCTCTATTAGGCTCCTCCTCTCCGTAAGCATTTTAAGAAACAATATCTAACTTTAACAAAAACCATAAGAAGCTGTCTTTATGAAGATAACACCATGCATGTGCCAGCTTGGTCCCTGGTCCCTGTACGCTTATGCCACGATGAACTTGCGTGACTTTTAGCTGGAACACAGGAAGCTGCCTTATATAGAACCAGGCCATTGCCAGCATAGCCTGCACCGACTGGCAGCAGCTCCCAAGAGTTTTGGACAGGGTACATTCTCAACAGCCACAATGACCTAAGTAGAACTGGATTATTTTTTTTAAGAGAGAGGATACGCTGCCCCAAGCAACACTACATGTCAGAAAGTATAAAACAGGAGCCTGCATGCAGTCACATCATATTATTTTATGGAAGTTGCCTTCAGCTTTAATTTACTTTGTTAGCTATATATTTTGCTTCCCCCACACCCTGTCAAGGCAGAAATAAGGCAGGGGTGTGTATGATAAACGATGACATAAATTATCATACATAACAATTTAACTACAAAAGTTAAATCCAAGATTAAAAACAAAACCTATGTTTAGGTTTTGCCAGGAACTTGAGTGTTTACACGATATAGAAGTAAAGGTTGATTATTTAGGAGACCACTGTAAGCAGATGAAAACATTAGCAGGATTTTAATCTCATGTAACAACCACCATGGACAATATGGAGATACAAAAAATGGTCATGAAATAATATGCAGTTGAAAATGTTGACAAAAAGACCGATGGAGGGGGTGCTGGTAAGTCTGGATATTCAGAGAAATCTCTAAATGTGGATATGTACTTGGTATTGTTATAACTTTACGCCTGTAAAATCAAAGAAAAAATATTTTCAAAAGAAAGAATAGAAGTAAAGGTTGGGAGTTCCAACCTCAAATTGCATATGGAACCACACACCAACCCCTTTCAGGGCTGCTGAAGAATGTTGCATGCTGGGAAGTGTAGTCTTTCCTTCCCGGCGCAATGCACTCTGGGAAATAGAGTCCCAACTGACTCACCTCGGCCTGCTTTTTTTTCTGCTCCTGCTTCTCGGCTCGTATTTTCTCCGCCAGCTGCTGGGCGCTGAGAGGGGCGGCCGCGCCCTGGCTGTGAGAAAAGGCCCTCCGGCCAGCTTTCAAAACGAGCCGCAGAGCGCGGTGAGGGGCGCCACTCTGAGCCGCCATCTTGTTTAGGGCTGTCCGAAAAAAGCATACGGAACCCGGATGTGGGCGTGGCCTGCGCCGCCCTCCCCTTTCGCTCGCGCGCTACCATGGCGGCAAACCAAGCAGGGCAGGGCATTAGAAGAGGTTCCGGCTAATCTCGATCAAGGCCCCCCCTTCCTCTCCAATAAGATAGCCGTGCGGCGTTCTCCGTATCCAATGAAAAGCAGTCCTTACGTGCAGTGGGCGGGAGAAGAATGTTGGCGCACCAATGAAAGATGGCGGAACGGGAGCGGGCCAATCATGGAAAGAGGGCGGACCTTGCTATTTCCTTTTCGGTTTGAACAACGGCAGTTGTGCGGCGGAGTAACCGTCGCCGCGCGAGGGCAGAAGGAGCCGGAGCCGGCGGCAGCAGCGATCAGGTATTAAGCGAAGGGCGCAGGCCGGCAGAAAGCGCACGTGGCAGGTCGTGGAAGATGCGCGCGCACTCGCTTCTGGCCGAGCCTTGTCCTCTCTCATCCCCCCCCCTTCCTTTTTAAAATTCTCACAAGAACTTTGTGAGGTAGGTTAGGCCGAAAGATACAGTGGTTGGTTCAAGGGTGGTTCACTGAGCTTCGTTGCGAAGGGGGGTTTGAACGGTAGTTTCCTATCCCTGCCTCTGGTGCTCTAAGCCAGGGTGGGGAATCTGTGGCTCTGCAGTTGTTGGTACTCCAGCCATGGGGATGGGGGGGAGCTGACCCCTCCCCCCTGAATCAGGTAAATAAAAATATATATGCTTAACTAAATGTCGAAATAAATCAGAATATTTGAAATCGAAATGATCCCTGGGGTCACTTGGAGGATGTTGGGAAAGCCAGCCAAATGGGTGGGGTATAAATAATAAATTATTATTATTATTATTAGTAGTAGTGGAAGACAGTAGTGCCTGGCATGCTCTGGTCCATGGGGTCACGAAGAGTCAGAAACGACTAAACAACAAGAAGTAGTATTTATTATTACATTGGTTCCCAGTACGTTTCCGAGCACAATTCAAAGTGTTGGTGCTGACCTTTAAAGCCCTAAACGGCCTCAGTCCTGTATACCTGAAGGAGCATCTCCACCTCCATCGTTCAGCCCAGTCACTGAGGTCCAGCTCCGAGGGCCTTCTGGCAGTTCCCTCATTGTGAGAAGTGAGGTTACAGGGAACCAGGCAGAGGGCCTTCTTGGTAGTGGCGCCCACCCTGTGGAACGCCCTCCCAGCAGATGTCAAGGAATTAAACGACTATCTGACTTTTAGAAGACATCTGAAGGCTGTTTAGGAAGGTTTTTAAAGTTTGAAATTTTATTCTGTTTTTAGTGTTCTGCTGGGAGCTGCCCAGAGTGCCTGGAGAAACCCAGCCAGATGGGCAGGGTATAAATAATAAAATTATTATTACTACAGTGGTACCTCTGGTTACGTACTTAGTTCGTTCCGGAGGTCTGTTCTTAACCTGAAACTGTTCTTAACCTGAAGCACCACTTTAGTTAATGGGGCTCCTGCTGCTGCACGATTTCTGTTCTCATCCTGAAGCAAAGTTCTTAACTCGAGGTACTATTTCTGCGTTCGTGGAGTCTGTAACCTGAAGCGTATGTAACCTGAAGTGTACATAACCCAAGGTACCACTGTATTAGCAACCTGATTGAGTGGTAGACAAGGCAAACAGAGGATGACAGGTGCCCCGCCCCCCAAAATACCCCAAACCATAAATCATGGCTTTGCCCAGGACTCCAGCTGCCATAATCTCTTGACGGGTGGATGAGAGATGGAGCACAGCATCACCCCAAGAGCCACAGGGTCCCCATCCTTTCTCTAGTACCACACTGGCCGCAGCATTAGCTCTGGGCCTTTTTTTTTTTTTTTAAGCCCTGTTTCCAACCTAGATCCTATCAGCACTCTGCAATGTAAGCAGCATTGTACTGCTGTAAACACTCGTTGCTTCTTCCAAAGAAGCCTCTCCTGGGATCTGTAGTTTGCCAAGGGTGCTGAGAAGCTGCTAGGAGACTCCGGTTCCCCTCAAAGAGCAACATTGCTCAGAATAACTTGGGAAGAGAAGCCCAACACTGCAAGCTGGAACAAACCTTATGCATTCGAGATTTTACACACGCTAACTATTTAAAGGGATGTCAAAAGAGGATTAGTGGTTCTTTTAAGACCCACTAAAGTAGAAACAGTGGGTTTAAATTACAGTAAGGCAAGCTTTAAACTAAAGCTGCAGTCTTAAAATATATTTCCTTATGAACGACTTCCACTAAATTCAATGGGGCTTAGTTCCAATTAAACTTCTGTAGGATTGTGGCCCCACCCCAATGTAAACTGGCATTGGAATGTTATACTGTTAAACTGCAGTAGAAAGGGATTGACCAGATGGCATGGTGCCAAATCAATTAATGTAATAATAATAATAACAAAAACAACTTTATTGTCATTGTACAACCTGTGTACAGTTGATCTTTTTCATGTGAATTTTAACTAAAGTAACTATTGAGTGGCTGCTATGCTTTCTAATAGGCCACAACGTATCTGCTCATCACATCCCTGACTAGTGGAACTGTTCTTTCTCTTTTTCTGAGGTCCTAGTAACCTAGTTAGTCCAGCTTTTCCTAGTTTTTATTTTGCTCCTTTGTTCCTATCACTTCATCCATATGGAAGAGCAGGATGAGGCTGAACATAAGGAAGTGTAGAAAGAGGTGAGTCCCAACCTAAAGATGTTACTACTTGTTTATTCTTGTAAATAAAAAAAGGCACCACACCCAGGTCCGTTGATATGACAAGGCTGATTCACATATCCAGCTCGTGATGTGGTGGCCATATAAGAAGACCCTAATCTGTGGCCACTTACTCCTCTCCATACAGTTACCCTCCTGATTTATAGATTTGTTTTGGCAATGAGAAATTGCTTACAACTGTTCTAAGAGCTATAGATGCTTTCAGTGGTTGTAGCAGTAGGAAGAGAGTGTGGAGCTAATAAAGAGACTTCCCTGTATTTTGAAAACAATTTCACACTTGCTTTATGCTATTATTTTAAAAAATGTTTATTTCTTAAATGCAAAGCATTTAGTGGTATGCCTGTGTTATTAAAAAGAACAAAAGTAAGGATCCCAATAGGTTTGCATGAGAAGAGATCTGGAGCTATCTGCTTGGAGATAAGAGATGGCGTGGAAACTTCAGTCTGAACTCGTACAGACTCTCTTTGCAGCTTGTTCTGGAACATCATTGTCTGTCTCCACACTTTTGCTGTGGCTGTTCTTAACTTCCATCTCTTCATCTGATTCCTTTTCAGAGTGCTTTGTTTTCTTAAGGTGTGGAAGTTCAATGCGTCCTCTACGCACAAAGTAACTGATGCGAGACTCCAACCCTTCACATTTGGGGCGATCCATTAATGGCTTGTAGTTTCGGGCTTTTGCTCCCTCGATTAAGGCACTGATCTGATTGTGGACTGGGGGCTCCAGCTCTCCCCACCGAATTGTGCTGTTGCTTGAACCTGAAAACAACAAGTGCCAACAGGTCAACAAGTCATGTGTAGCATATTATTATTCACCAGTTGCTTCTATCCCCTTTTAAATTACCCAGTTCTGTACCCATATATGTAATCACTAGAATAGTTCCTTAGAGCCACACTCATACCTAGCAACAGTGAATACTGTTAGAATTCTACAGAACTATGCATCTCCTACCTGTCTCTGTAGGCATCTCAGCAAAATCAAGCCCTTTTAACATGCTACGCAGCATGTGAGTTTTAACAGCATGGTTGGCCCAAAGCTGCTGTAAATGAGTGACGTTAAACTCCTGCACATTGCGATCATAGATCCACTGGATATTTTCAAATTCACAGTCATACAAAACCAGAGGAAATTCCACTGCCATGCTGCAAGAAAAGGAGAAGATAAGGTGTTAAGGAGCCTAAATCAGATGCTTGTGACTTAAAACAGGGAAGTAAATGCATAAGACTGAGTAACAATCTGATGTGAAACAAAGCAGTGATTAATCTTTATAGTGTTACATTCCCATACATGTAAGGCAATTGGTGTTAATCTTTCTGGGCCAGTAACAGGAGTGCAGTTTTTAATGCACACTAATGCACTTTTATAGCTTCCCTTTCCACCCGCTCTTCAGCACCTTGATGTGGTTTTGCCTGCAGTCCAATTGTATTATGGAGCAATGGCACTGGAAAAGCTGTACTTAAGAGCTACAGAAATCCCAATTATGTTTGCCAGGACTTTGCTAAAGACTGGCATGCATTTTCATAGGCAAGACTATGTCATTGGGAGTGATGCAGGAATACACTGGTTAGACTTTAAGGTACCACAGTGGTATGGTGATGGCTCAGAGCTCAGTGGCAGAACACAGGCCTTGCACACAAAAGGTCCCAGGTTCAATTGCTATAACCTCTGATTAAAAACGGCTCTCTGATATTAGGTCTAGGAAAGACCTCTGTCCCAAGATTTGCATCCACCGCTAAGCTTGTTTCACGTCTAACATATTATACTGGTTATATAATATATATTAATTTCTTTGCAAAGACATACCTGTATTGTGGTTTCCGAGGGTTGTTCTCTACATCCAGCAGCACATCGATAATCTCTGGCTTTTCCATCCTTTGTCCAATCAGGAAGAGAATAGCCATCATGCAACGGACCTGGTGGTAGAGGAATGCTTGGCCTGTCACTTCAAACAGGTACATTTGGAAAGGGTTGTGCAGCTCGGCATCCTCTGCTCTAGCCACAGGCTTCACCTCTGCAGTAAGAATTGTCCGTTGAAAGTTGATTACGCCGTTGGCTACATCCATCTTGCATAGATTACGAAAATCATGGGTCCCCACGAGCTTTTGAGCTGCAGTATTCATGAGAGCTACATCTAGATCAGCACGAGGGAAGAAATAGCGATAGGTCCTTTTGAGGCAACTAAACCTAGCACTGAAGCTGGGATCTACTGGGGCCCAAGCCAGTACCCGTATGTCATGAGGGAGCACTTGATTCAATATGTGTGTGTAGCGGATCTCCTCTGCAGTATTTGTGGCTGTGTCCTCCATTGCACCCTCGGGTTTATTTGCTGCTTTATCCTTTGACAGGTTTGAGCGGAGATCTAGGGAGATTACCTGAAACATTGGAGAAGGATAATATGGAGTAAAATATGTAAAAACAACACTATGGACAGTATCTGATGCCCTCATTGCATTACACTTGTGCAACGGAACTCCACCCCCCCCCCCCCGGGTACCTTGCACCATCCCCAATCCTTGCGCAAACTGTAGAATTGACATAGCAATACTTTGGATACAAACCTAAGGGTTAGATCCCAAGTTAGCCATACTTGGAGTAGACCCATTGAAATTAATGGACATGAATAAATTAGGTCCATTAATTTCAGTGCATCTGCTCTGAGTCAAACATAGCTGAATACACCTCTAATATTTATTTTATTTTTTACGGAATCAATGAGAGTTCTCCAAATACAATGGTGTTGGTGTAGGTTCCTCAATGACTATTTGGACCTGAACTGATCTGCTGCTAGGTTTTATCTTGCAGCCCTGGATAACTCAGGAAACTCACTTTCCTGGGAGGAAGCCCCATTAAATGAGTTCTAATATCAGCATATCTAACACCCAGTCCAGTCGTACCTTGAAAGTCGAACGGAATCCATTCCGGAAGTCCATTCAACTTCCAAAACGTTTGGAAACCGAAGTGTGGCTTCTGATTGGCTGAAGGAAGCTCCTGCAACCAATCGGAAGCCCTGTTGGACGTTCAGCTTCCAAAAATAGTTCGCAATCCGGAGCAGTCGCTTCCAGGTTTGCGGCATTCAAGAGCCAAAACTTTTGAGAACTAAGCTGTTCGAAAATCAAGGTACGACTATTCAGCTCCAACCAAAGCTAAGATGTCTAGAGGTGCAAACTCTTTGCTAAGCGAGAATATCACAGAAGGTAATGCAGCTGCCCCTGCTTTAATTCACATTCTGTTATAGTGCTGAATCCAAATCCCCCCTCCCTCACCCTCTGAGCAGGTTCACTCATTTTCTGCTGTGAGTTGAGCAGGTTGGTTTCATAAAAATGGAGGATAGACAGATGCGGAACTCACCTGTCCAAAGGCACTGACTCCCTTGTCAGTGCGCCCACAGCGGTGATAGTTGGAAGTCTGTCTGCTGCCTACCAGTCGGGTTTTGCTGAGAGCCTCAAACAGCTTTTCTTCAATAGTATTGTTGGTGTTCTCTTGGCTAGCAAAGCCCTGATATCCCCAGCCCAGGTAGGCTATCTTCAGCGCCACGTGTCTCTGGCCATAAGCACTAAAATCAAATGGCCGCTGCTGCCGTTTCTTAGTCTTCCCTGCTGCTGAGAGGCTGCCTTCTGTGCCTGCAGTCTGCTTGCTCTCTAGCTTTTCTTGCAGCCTTTGCACCATGTCTTCCAGTTCCTGGACTCTCTTCAGTAGCAACTCTGTTTCTGCTCCATCTCTGGCCATTGTGAGAGTCCCTAGGAAGGGAAAACGAGTTTCTACAATTCAAACTTTTGTATTTGCTGCTAGAGGAGAGGCTGTTCAGCTGGGGACAGTCAACGTGCTACCCAGCTTTCTGCTTTTATTTTCTACCTATACTGTATTGCATATTTGAACGTAATGAATTGTGAGTGCATGTCTTTCTCCATTTACTGATAAAGTCATACTAATTCCCAGTGGGCTTTCAGGACATGTTTTTTGTTTACATGGACTGCAAGGTGTAGGGGACAGAAAGGGTTTGCTCTTGACACCCTTGGGCTACTCCTGCATAAGGAAACCCTACATAATACACAGGATTCTGGGTTTTTGTTCTGAAGTGCACATATTTCATGTGAGATACTGGTCCGCCCTGTTGGGTCTCGCAGTTCCCAGTGTGAACTGAACGTGCACCATAAAGCATACTTAACATCAGGGAGGAAGATTTTCAAGTTGCAGGCAAACTGCCTTTCAGGGATTCAGATCCACCATTACTGATTCCCATTGTGGAATCTGATACATTACTAAGCAGCCTCAGGATTTGCTGGAAAATAATTTGAAACCCACCAGTATAGCTAATAACTGTAAGACTTAACACATTCTCCAACGTACTGCAAAGGGGGAACATCGTAATGCAGCAGTACTCAGGATTTTTACTGTATCCTAAGCTGACTTAGGACGCGGGTGGCGCTGTGGGTAAAACCTTAGTGCCTAGGACTTGCCGATCGCATGGTCGGCGGTTCGAATCCCTGCGACGGGGTGAGCTCCCGTTGCTCGGTCCCAGCGCCTGCCAACCTAGCAGTTCGAAAGCACCCCCCGGGTGCAAGTAGATAAATAGGGACCGCTTTATAGCGGGAAGGTAAACGGCGTTCCATGTGCTGCTCTGGTGCCGGTTCGCCGGAGCAGCTTCGTCACGCTGGCCACGTGACCCGGAAGTGTCTGTGGACAGCGCTGGCCTCCGGCCTCTAGAGTGAGATGAGCGCACAACCCTAGAGTCAGACATGACTGGCCCGTACGGGCAGGGGTACCTTTATCTTTACCTTTTAAGCTGACTTAAGTGAAAGCAAATTCTTGCTGGAAATAGGTAAATGACTATTCAGTCAGTGAATAAATTTAGTACAATGGTACCTTGGTTTTTGAATGTAATCTGTTCTGGAAGACCGTTCAACTTCAAAAATGTTTGAAAACTGGGGTGCAAAGGGTAGCCTGCCATTTCAATGGAGAAAACTGGGGAAAACTCAGCGGAAAACTGTTCAACTTCTGAGGCGCATTCGAAAACAGAAGCATTTACTTCTGGGTTTTCGGTGCTCGAAAACCGAAACGTTCGGCTTCCGAGATGCTAAAAAACCGAGGTGCCACTGTACTTAAACTTGTTTTGGGTAGATATAGCACACTGTGAGAATTAACATCTCTCTCTTTTAGAATCAGTGACTGCACCAAGCCAAGAGAAGCCATGGAAACATTCATGGGACTTGATCGTCCCCGCTGGGCCTCTATGAGCCATGAAGATCGGCTCAAAGAAGCTGCAATGGCATTCATCCGCCTTTGCGCAGAACAGGGAGAAGGTGATAGCCCAAGGAAGATGTGTTTTGCACCTCAGCTGGACCCCTACACAAGAGCCTCGGTGGCCTCTTTGGTCAGACCCACACTTCCTGTGAAGATTAGGCATCTTCATTCGGGACCCACCTTGCAAGCAAAGACTCCCGAGGAACCCAGAGTTGCTAGGAAACCAATAATAAAAAGGAAAGTTCTGAGGCGAAGGCCTGATGGAGAAGTAGAGGTGACGGATGAGTCCATCACCAGCACACCAGAGACCAGCAGTCAGAGTGACCCCGAGTATGGGGAGTTGAGTCAAAGAATGCACAGTCTGAAGACTCAGCAAGAGAAAGAAGAGTCCGAGGAGGAGAGCGAGCCAAGCATTTGCCCAGAGTCTGAGACGGCTTATTCCTGGATAACTACAGAGAGCCAGAGCCAAAGCTCGCAAAGAGAGAGCCAGAGCCGCAGCAGCACATCCTATGAGCAGGACTTGATTGTTGCTGGCCACCCAAAATCCTTCATATTACCAAGATTTGATCAGCTAAGCCGGAACAGAATGAAGACCGACCGGGTAGCCCGTTACTTGGAGCATAAGCATGACTGGGAATCTCTGCGGCTACCCGGGGAAGATCCCAGGAAAGGGGTGCGCTGGAGCATCCGGGAACAGATGCTCTGCAAGTCAGAATTGCCTCCTAGGGCTCAGCATATTTATATTCCCAACAACTACCTGGTGCCTACAGAGAAGAAGAGGTCTGCCCTGCGCTGGGGAATACGCTGTGACCTGGCAAATGGCGTGATGCCTAGGAATACCTACTCCTCCTAGAAATGCAGAGGTCTCTACAGCGCCATCCACAGGAGCATGCCGTGCTTAGCACAGCCCAAATATCCAACTACTCCAGGCAAGCAGCTAAGCTATTTTGTTTCCTTTGAAACCCTTTCAAATCCTTATTGGTTTTAAATCTGGCTTTCAGAATGAGTGTTCCCACAACACAAAAGGATTTTACTTATTCGTGCTTCTTGAATAGTTGTCCCATATAGGATCATTTAGAGATTAATATTGCCTCCTCAGAAGCCAGGCAGAAGATGAACCAAAGTTCACTGAAGTATATGTCAATGAGAATAATTTTTATTTTTATTGCAAGATCTTTTAAACCCACTTCCTCTTCCTAGCGCAATCATCATACTTCTGTATGATGTTGTTATTTTTAAAGAAAGTTTAGCTTCTAGATGTATGGATTAAATTAAAAGTGTGTGGTATAAAAGGATTGCCTCTAGTTTCTCTATTGACTGGTTAATTTGTTGAGAAAGTAGTATTTTATCGGGAACAGAAGACAGGTCAAAAGCTTCACCTCATTTATCATTTATCAATTGTTGTGTGGGACTGCTGTGCTACATTGTAAACAACTCTTCACTTTCAAGTGGGTATGTGGTTCTTTTCCAATTGGGAATATTGTCTTGGTTTGTATCTATGTATTTTTTAAAACAATTTTATTGAAGGTTTTTAACACGTTAAGCAATAAAATCCAAACACATTTATAAAACAATAAAAATATATTAAAAAAGAGAGTAATAATAAAATACCTATATACAGGCAACTCACAGTTTAGGTGCCAAACCTAGAAGTAGCCCCAAAACATCACTGATAGTGGAGGGGTGGAGCACAGTGGGCGTCCACATGCTCCCCTATAAACCAGAATTACTTGTACTAAGGTTCTCGTGCAAAGTGCTTTTCTTCTGTTCTAAGTTTCTTTCCCTACTTGGAAACACTACGGATATAATGAAATATGGGTTGCATATTGGAGAAGACAATGGACAATTGGAGAAGATTTTAATTATGCCTGGCTGCAAGCGTAAGCACCAGTGAACACACTGAAACTGCTGAGTACAGTGGACGCTCGGGTTGTGAATGTGATCCGTGTGGGATGCATGTTTGCAACCCGCAATGTTCGCAACCTGCAGTGGTGCGTCTGCGCGGGTTGCAATTCGGCGCTTCTGTGCATGTGCGACCGCTGAAACCCAGAAGTATCCCGTTCTGGTACTTCCAGGTTTCAGCGCGTCTGTAACCCAAAAAATGCAACCTGAAGCGTCTGTAACCTGGGATATGACTATATAGTGGAGCAAGGAAACTGCTTTAGCCAGAAGGAAGGCTGCTTTTCCTTCTGGGTAATATACCAGTGGTGGGTAGGGCTGAAGGGGGAGAAATGGGCAGAATAACTGGTCCAAATTCTATCTTTGTACAATGGGCTAATTTCTACACACGCCTGCACACACCTCTGTCCCCTGTTCAGACTAGAGATGGGAAGGCCTGGAAAAAACCTAGAAAACGGGGGGTAAGCTTTGGGGAGGAAAGCCCTGGTATTTTTCCGGGTTTTTCCCAGGCCTTCCTATCTCTAAGATAAGCAGTATTGTGGCATGATTTTCATGGGTACATGGGATTTTCACCGGGTACATGAACTGCCAGAATCTGTAAAACTTGAGCTAGTTGACACTTTTTCTTACCCTTAATGTGAAATTACAGCCCAGTTAGCTTAATGTTTTTTCCTGGTAAACTGGTGGAAACTGTTAACAATAAAATTACCAACCCTATAGAAGTCTTGCTGATAACTTCTGTAAGGGTAAGTCTTGTCTACCTAACCATTTTAGAGTTCTGCGAGAGTATTATGCAAATGGGGTGATCTTGGATGTGTACCTGGACTTAACTGGTTAAAGAATGCTAAGCGGAGAGTAGGACTAATTGACAGTTCTAACAATGGAAGGATTTAGTAAGCAAGGTTCTCCCAAGATCTGTAATGAAAACAGCTTTTTAACTTATTCATCACTCTGGAATCAGGGAGCAGTGAGGTGGCCAAGTTTGCTGATGACACCAAATGGTTTAAGGCAGAGCTTTCCAAACTTTTCACGCTGGCAGCACACTTTTTAGGCGTGCATCATTTCATGACACAGCAATTCAGTTTTGCATCACTTCGCGACACAGTAATTCAGTTTTACTAGCAAACCAGAGGTTAAACTAACCCCTTTCCCAGCCCGGAAGGAGCATTTGTGGGACCCACCTACACACAGCAGCCAACACACTAACATGTCACAACATACAGTTTGGAAAGCTCTCATTTAAGGTGATTAAAACCAAAAGGGATTGCCTGGAGCGCCAAAAGAATATCTCCTGACTGGGTGAAGGACCATTAAAAATGCATACAATCTTAGTTGGAAGGGATCCCCTAAAGGTCCAATCCCCTGCAATACAGGAATCTCAACTAGATTTTGACAGAGTCCACCACCTCTTGTGGGAGTCCATTCCACTGTCAAACAGTTCTGTCAGAAAGTTCTTCCTGATGCTTAGTCGGAATCACCTGTATTACAACTTGAAGCCATTGGTTCAAGTCCTATCTTCCAGAGAAGGAGAAAACAAGCTTGCTCCATACTGCATGTGTCAGCCCTTGAGATATCTGAAGATAGCTATCACCTCTCAGTCTCCTCTTTACCAGGATAAACATACCCAATTCCCTCAACCGTTCTTCATTAGGCTTGGTTTCCAGACCCTTTTATCATCTTGGTCGCCCTCCTCCGCACATATTCCAGCTTAACAGAACTGGACACAGTACTCCAGGTATAGTCAGACCAGGGCAGAATATTAGTGGGACTATTACTTCCCTTGATCGGTGGAAAGTGATACATGCTGATGCAAAAAACCCAATAACTTCACATGTACTTACAGTGTCTGAACTGGTGTTAACTGGCCAGGAAGGAGATTTGAGAGTTGTGGCAGATAGCTTGAGAAAGATGTTTTCCTAGCATGCAGCAGCTATGAAAAAGGCAAATTCCATGTTAGGGATAGTTAGGAAAGCGATTGAAACCACCCACAGGAGGCCCTTATACAAATCCATGCTGCAACCACACTTGGAATAGTGTATGATTCTGGTTGCCGTACCTCAAAAAGGCTCCTGCACATCAAGAAAATGGCAACCAAAACGATTAAGGGAGTAGAACAACTCCACTATGAGGAAATGTTACAGCATTCAGGGGTTTCTAGCTTATAAAATGTGGGCATGATAGAGGTGCTAAGATTCTGCAAGGTGTGGGGAAAGCAGTTTTTTCTTCCTACTATGTGAAGATAATGCTAGAACACAAAGTCAACCGACACCAATTCTCTACTGACTGTTTTTTTAATTAAAGAAAACAAGTATACTAGAAAAACATTAAAATATACTGTTATTGGACAACTGAACACACTGGTCCATGAGAATAGGCATGCATTTTAGTGCTTTTAGCATCAGTGAATCGAGCAGCCTGATCCTGTGTACCTTTATTTGGAAGTAACTGCTATTGAGGTCAACAAAGCTACCTGCTAGGGATTACAACATCCTAGATGCATCCTTACTCGATGGGATTTCAAACCCTGCACCCAGTGAGTGTGCGTGGCAGAAGATGAGCCCTGTTGGATCAGGTCGATGGCCCGTCCAGTCTAGCATCCTGTTCTCACAGTGGCCATCCACGTGCCTACGAAACGTCAGCAAAAGCAGGACCTGCCTGCTCCCCGCGTGCGGTTCTCAGTACTTCGAACACGCGTGATCGTGGCTCAGGGGTTGAAGTCGGGCTACTAATTTTGGACAGAAACGGCCAGTGTAAGAGCTAATCACGGAAGGCTAATCAGAACAGCCAACTAGTAATCCCGCAACGCCCCCCCCTTTTAAAAAAATAAAATTTCTAAGGGTTCAGAATTGTTATATGTTACAGCGGTGGGGGAGAGACGGGCGATCCAATCAACACCGCCTTAAGGCTGCCTGTGAAGGCGATCAGCTTCACTAAGGGAGCGATCCTAAACGCACTTACTCAAGAGTAAGCCCATCGAACACTGTGGGATTTGCTCCCGTGTTAAAACATGCGCTGTGAACGCGCGACTCCCGTGTTCCTACCTTTTACGCAGACGTTCGTTGAGAGCAAAAGCCTCTGAGCGCAGGCATGCCGCCCCGTCCACGATTTCTCTGCAGGAAATGACGTAAAGACTTCCCTCCCCCAACACATGACGCAGAGGAGGTTTGTGGGAAATGTAGTCTTTCTCTAGAAAGCGGCCGGATTAGCGTTTTACTTCCCACAGCAGGCAGCCAAATGTTTTTGGAAGGTTGCAGAAGGTTATCCTGAACGGGATAGCCCTTCCCTTCTTGTCTGACGCCAGCCCCAGAGATATGCTGCCTCTGACATGGAGGCTCCATTTAGTTATCATGGCTATTAATCATTGAAAACTTTATCCGCCATAATATGTAAACTCATGAGCTACTGAATTGAGGTGTTAGGCAAAATATTACTGTTTTTTATGCAACGAATTGAATAAATTGTTCCATTTAACATTTGTTAAAAAACCTGAAGCATTTTTATTAGGGATTGTAGGGAAAGATCTGCCAAAAAAGCTGAAAAACATCTTCATGTATGTGACAACGGCCGCAAGAGTTTTAATAGCACAAGGATGGACGACTGAAGAAACCCCAACTAAAGAATCATGGCAAGAAAAATTGATGGACTATGCAGAACTGGCAAAACTGACATACAAGCTATGGGACAAGGATAACTGTGACTTTAAATATGAATGGGAACCCTTTACAAAGTATTTGAAGACGCAATAAAGCGAACTGGACTCCTTGGCTGGTTTTGAATAAACATTCACAAACTTTTTATTGATAATAATCAGCTAAATAGTTTGAGGATCTATACAACTGTGTAACATGCAGAAAACAGCATTTTTAGAGAAATCAAAGACTGGAACTGAGGGAAGGTGGGGGGGTCTGTGGGGGGGGGGGAGGGAGGTAAAATGGGGGGGGAAATAAGGATGATGTGTTTCTGGATAATATGTTTTGTTTTAATTTTGAATAAAAAGTTATTAAAAAAATTACTGTTTTAATTCCGGCCTCAATGGTTGCTTCTATTTCAACAATAATTTAGTGTCCAGGGTGCTTCTTGAGAAGCATTCACCTCAGCTTATTGCCGTACCACCCTGAACATGCGCAATCTCAGACCATCATTATGCCCTCACAAAAAAGTGCTTGGAGTTTATTCATTTATTTAAGAATAACTAGTAATAGATACCAAAGCAACATATTCATAGCCAACATTTAAATGTTCAAAATATTCCAGACCAGACCAACTATCAGGTTCACGTGAAAGGCCCATTAATTTCAATGGTTGTGAGTAGAAGTATGTTGAATACAACCCTTGGAATATGAAGGAAGGTATAGAAATTTAATAACAATATTAATGTTTTAATAATAATAATAATAATAATAATAATAATAATAATAATAATAATAATAAAAATATTATTTATACCCCACCCATCTGGCTGGGCCTCCCCAGCCACTCTGGGCGGCTTCCATAGAAACCAAAAATACAGTAAAATATCACACGTTAAAAACTTCCCTGAACAGGGCTGCCTTAAGATGTCTTCTGAATGTCAGGTAGTTGTTTATCTCTTTGACATCTGATGGGAGGGCGTTCCACAGGGCGGGCGCCACTACCGAGAAGGCCCTCTGCCTGGTTCCCTGTAGCATTGCTTCTCGCAATGAGGGAACCGCCAGAAGGCCTTCGGCGCTGGACCTCAGCGTCCGGGCAGAATGATGGGGGTGGAGACGCTCCTTCAGGTATACTGGACCGAGGCCGTTTAGGGCTTTAAAGGTCAGCACCAACACTTTGAATTGTGCTCGGGAACGTACTGGGGTTTTTTAAAGGAAAACCACCATCATCACATAGAATCACTGAGTTGGAAGGGAGCCTAAGGGTCATTTAGTCCAACCCTCAACAATGCAGGAATCGTAAGTAAAATAGAAACATCGCCACCCAACCTCACCCCCACCCATCTTTCCCCCCCTCCACCTCTTTCCCCCTTTTCTTCCCAATGTATCAACAAATGAAACTGATTTGTAAAAATGTTACATGGGAATATATATATATATATGCAGGTTTTGGGGTCCTCGGGTGTCTTCCCGTGTAAAAGTTGGGGTGTCTAGGCGACGTTTCGACGAGGTCTCACTCGTCATCTTCAGGCTGGTGCTTTCGGCTTCTTGTTACTGGAACAGAGCAGGATCTCAGTGTTTGAGTTCCTATAAATACTGTTGAGGGGGTGTGGTGTAATAGCCTCCAATGTTCTGGGCAGAGAGGAAGTTCCCAGGCTAGTGTGCCTTTTCTTCTTTTGTTCCTTAATTACTTGAGGGATATCTTGAGTGATTTCTTGAGTGATATTCTGAGTACCACTTAGGTGGGTCATTAGGTGTGGATTAGTTGCTAAAGCCTTCGTGTCTTGACCTCTTGAACTTTGTGAAGAGTTTTTCTGAGAAGATGGCTGTACTGCACTTAGTTGTGCTCTGGCTTGGCTTCGTGTATAGGGGCGAGCTGTGGTTTTGTGCCCTGTGCCAGCCCGATCTGTGTAGGGATTGCAGGGGGTGCAGCATCCGGAGGTGCCACCATGGTTTGGCTACTGGATGGTGTCTGTAATTTATCTGTGGAGAGGGTCTGGGTTTGGGTCTGGTGTGGTTGATTGGTGATGGCGTTCTGTGTGCCTCTGGATCTGGTGTCGGTTTTTGTGGGGAGGGCTAATTTCCAGATGTCTGGCAGGCGGGACGTGTCGTCACGCTTGTTCATGTTGTGAGGGTGTTTCTCTATCTCGATGGCTTCCATGATTATTCTCTTGTGGTGATGTTCCATGTTAAAGAGCAATTTGGAATCTGCAAAATTAATTTCGTGTCCTGTTTCTTTCATGTGTTGGAAAAGAGAGGAAGTTTTTTCTTCTTTTTTGACGGCATTCTTGTGTTCTGCGATACGTGCATTTATTCGTCTGTTTGTTTGTCCAATGTACGTGGCTGGGCAGACTTTGCAGGGTATTTCATAGACCCCTTGGTTTTCCAACTGGATTTTATCTTTGGGGTTTCTGAGGATATTGGCTATTTTTTGGTTGGTGCAAAAGGCTGTTTGATATTGTGTTTATGGAGGATTTTGCTAATTTTATCTGTAGTGCCCTTGATATAAGGAAGGAGGGCCATGCCATTGTTTTCTTCTGTGTCTTGGTTTTTGGGGGGTGTTTCTTTTTGGATTAGCTTCGTAACCCTGTTTTGCTGGTATCCATTGGCGATTAACACATTGAGAGATTCTGTAACTCAGTTGTCAAGTGGTCTTTGTCAGCCAGGCGTTTGGTTCTGGAGATGAGAGTCTTGGCTACGGAGTTTATTTGTGCAGGGTGGTGGTGTGATTGTGCATGTAAGTAGCGGTTGGTGTGTGTTTTTTTTCCGGTAGATAGTGTGTCCTAGGGAGCCATCAGGTTTTTTGTAGATTAGGACGTCAAGGAAGGGAAGTTGGTTGTTGGCTTCTATTTCCATAGTGAATTGTATTTTGGGGGTGTAGGCTGTTGAGATGTGTGAGGAAGCTATCTAGTTTTTCCTTCCCGTGTGGCCAAATTACAAAGGTGTCGTCAACATATCTGAGCCAAAGTTTGGGTTTGTGTTCTGACTTGTCTAAAGCATTGGTTTCAAAGTGTTCCATGTACAGATTTGCGATGACCGGTGAGAGGGGTGATCCCATAGGTGCTCCTTCTATCTGTTTGTATCTTTGTCCATTGTGGATGAAGTACGTGTTGGTTAGGCAGTGGTTGGTCAGGTCCAGGATGTATTCGGGGGATTGTATTTGTTTTGAATGGCTGTCAAGGCTTCATTAATGGGCACTTGTGTGAAGAGAGATACAACATCGAAGCTCACAAGTAGGTCATCGGATGTAGGTTTTGCTTCTTTATTGTTTCTATGAACTGGAAGGAGTTTGTAACGTGTGAAGAGATGGATTCTGCATAGGGCTGAAGTTGCTTAGCGAGAAATTTAGCGAGATTTTGTAGAGGTGAGCCTATGGAGCTGACTATTGGTCTGAGTGGTGTTCCTTCTTTGTGTATCTTGGGGAGGCCGTAGAGTTTGGGGCATCTGGATGATTTTTCTCTGGGGATGATTCTTAGCTGGATTTCTTCACTGATAGGAGAGGCTTTTATTTTGGATTTGGTGGTTTTTTCCAGATAGGTGGTGGGATCTGTTTTTATAGGTTGGTAGGTAGGGTCTTGGAGTAGATTTGATAGTTTTGCTTGGTAGTCCGATGTGTTCATCACAACAGTGGCATTACCTTTGTCTGCTGGGAGAATGATTATGTTGTTGTCTTTCCTCAGGTTGGTGAGTGCTTTCTGTTCTTCTTTGTGTAATTGCTTCTGGGTGGTTCTTCTTTGTGTAAATTGCTTCTGGGTGGTTAATCGCCAATGGATACCAGCAAAACAGGGTTACGAAGCTAATCCAAAAGAAACACCCCCCAAAAACCAAGACACAGAAGAAAACAATGGCATGGCCCTCCTTCCTTATATTCAAGGGCACTACAGATAAAATTAGCAAAATCCTCCATAAACACAATATCAAAACAGCCTTTTGCACCAACCCAAAAAATAGCCAATATCCTCAGAAACCCCAAAGATAAAATCCAGTTGGAAAAACCAAGGGGTCTATGAAATACCCTGCAAAGTCTGCCCAGCCACGTACATTGGACAAACAAACAGACGAATAAATGCACGTATCGCAGAACACAAGAATGCCGTCAAAAAAGAAGAAAAAACTTCCTCTCTTTTCCAACACATGAAAGAAACAGGACACGAAATTAATTTTGCAGATTCCAAATTGCTCTTTAACATGGAACATCACCACAAGAGAATAATCATGGAAGCCATCGAGATAGAGAAACACCCTCACAACATGAACAAGCGTGACGACACGTCCCGCCTGCCAGACATCTGGAAATTAGCCCTCCCCACAAAAACCGACACCAGATCAGAGGCACACAGAACGCCATCACCAATCAACCACACCAGACCCAAACCCAGACCCTCTCCACAGATAAATTACAGACACCATCCAGTAGCCAAACCATGGTGGCACCTCCGGATGCTGCCACCCCCTGCAATCCCTACACAGATCTGGCTGGCACAGGGCACAAAACCACAGCTCGCCCCTATACACGAAGCCCAAGCCAGAGCACAACTAGTGCAGTACAGCCATCTTCTCAGAAAAAACTCTTCACAAAGTTCAAGAGGTCAAGACACGAAGGCTTTAGCAACTAATCCACACCTAATGACCCACCTAAGTGGTACTCAGATATCACTCAAGAAATCACTCAAGATATCCCTCAAGTAATTAAGGAACAAAAGAAAGAAAAGGCACACTAGCCTGGGAACTTCCTCTCTGCCCAGAACATTGGAGGCTATACACCACACCCCCTCAACAGTATTTATAGGAACTCAAACACTGAGATCCTGCTCTGTTCCAGTAACAAGAAGCCGAAAGCACCAGCCTGAAGATGACGAGTGAGACCTCGTCGAAACGTCGCCTAGACACCCCAACTTTTACACGGGAAGACACCCGAGGACACCAAAACCTGCATTCCTGTACCCGTGAAAATCTACGAAAGCATATATATATATATATATATATATATATATATATATATAAAATCTTGCCCCCTCCTAAAAATTATTTGGTGTGTTTTTCTTTTTATAAATCTATCAAAGACTAGAATAAATCAGGATTAAGGGGTTTTCTTAGGATGGCAGAGGGTGTCTGTGCTGTGTCCTGTTGATGTAGTGGTGGTGGAAATGCTCGGGGCGGGGGGCAAATAT